CTCATGGCTGTACACATGCTGCAGCGAAACTTAAACAGCAAGTTGCTTTTGGCAGGCGGTGCCATTGCCGAACGTGATTAATGCAGTTCTGTGGGTATGCTCTGCAAACACAACACAACCGCAAACAATGCACACATTTGTGGTATGGCAATTATATGATTAAATCAGCCATTGAGGAGGCAACATGTTGCCTCTTCTCATTATTGCCAAACTCCTTTGAAAAGTAATCTGAGAATGGCTTTTCAAAGGAGCGGCAATCCCTGTCATACATGTGGACCAGAACTTAGTCTCCAACATGCCTTCTCTGATGAAGTTCAGTTCTTAGTAAATGGAACTCTTTAGCAAACAAATATGGAAAATTGTATGAAATACTTTGTGTAATTTTCCTTTACTGGCACCAATCCTTGGCAGCATACATGTGGTAGTATGCTGCTGTGTTGGTACCAGAAAATTAGCGTAACCATTTGATCAACTAGACAGCTAGGCCCCTCACCGTAGGAGTTCCCTTTGAGTGAACCCAACTTTCCATCATTTGGAGAGGCCATACCTCTTTTGAAACCAAATCCCTCTATTCCTCTTCCCTCCTTTTTTTGCTCTGGTTTTATAGATCATTGTACCATTTAACAACCAAAAGTGTTATACAATGCTAAACCTTTCACCCAACCTTTAAATTATTATGCATTTACCTTGAAAAGTCAGTATAAAAGAAAAGAAGTGGCAAAAAAAGAACTTATGGATTTAACCAATCATTTTTTGACAACTAACTTCCTATGGTCTACTGAACTGGGGGCATGGCAGGGGTTTTCCTTGTCTGCTTACTTGGTGCTAAAAGGTGAGCCCCATTCTCATTACAGGAAAGTTTGGAGATACACAGATACAAAATCAAGCAAAAGGACAGAACTGCAAAATATTTACATTTTTAATGTATGGAACATTCCCTTACCATAGATTCACAGTCCTACGAAGACATGAATGGGCCAAATAATGGACAGCCTCAAACTCCAGAGAAGACCCATGAGGAAGGTGAAAAGTTGTTTTTAAGTTTCTCTTTTTCTCAAAAGGTGTTTACTGTAGAGAGAATACCCTTTATGTTTTACCTTTCTGTATTTAACATCAGTCACTTTAGTTGCCATATCCTACAGGACGCACAATTTTGTTCATGCAGTAATTAGTAACTCTGCTCCGGTTTGAAATAGCTAATAGTAGTTGGTCACAATCAGCTGGATTTATTTTATATTGTCGAAGATTTTTTAACCCAAGTAGCTTCCTTAGTTCAGGGACAAACCTAAAGATCGATAGCCACATGGGCAGCTCAGTTACCTTAATCCAGCCTTTTTCAACCAGGGTGCCTTCAGGTTTCTTTAGGGGTGCCTTCGCAAAATGCCTAAAAAATTGCCCAAAAATGTGTGCAAGCCAGCAGATGGATGAAACCTGCCTTTCAGTTAAAAGATTTTCATTGTGCACCATTACAACCTTCCAGCCGATAATGTCATTGGTTGCTAAGGCGGACATTAGGCACCTGCACAATATCCCTGTTCGCCACTTTCTTGCCTCTCTCCATCACCACTGGGGTCACATAAGCTGAGTGAAGGAGAGAAACTGAGGGAGAAGAGAAACTGAGGGTCACTAGTCAGTACCAGTATGCAAAGGTGTATTTGCTTTGGAAGAATAAATCACTTATAACGTTGGGTGTCCTATGTCTGTAGATGTTGCTGCATTATATAAAACTATTTTTTTTAGTTTTTTACATTTTAGAATGGGGCGCCTCGAGGTTGTGGAGGATTTTAAAGGGTGTCTTGACTGAAAAAAGGTTGAAAAAACACTGCCTTAATCCAATAACCATGATGTCATGCAATGTGCCAAGGCAGATGATAATTTTCCAAGAACATGATGGGAGGTGTGAATGTTTCACTTCTCACTCAAGTATCTTCCCCACTTCCAATGAATGTCATGAACATACCCCAGGGTTGATAGTCATGTGAGCAACTTGGTTACCTTAGCTACCTTGGAATGAAATTAAAAATGGGCGAAAAGGAAGGAATTTGAATTCAGAATAGCCATTTAATGCCTTAGCTTTTAATGAGATCTACGATCAAAAACACATGGGGGTTATGACCTTTGACTTATCAATAAAGATTTCATTTAATAAAACCTTAACTCTGTTACATTCTTTGTGTTTGTAGATGCCGATTCTTATGAGAACATGCAGGCCCCTATATACTCCCAATTGAACCGTTCTGTCAACTCGCTGGCCCATTCCACTGAAGACGGGGTTGAACAGACAGGGTCAAATATTTCAGACGTATCACCAAAGCAACAGTTGCCCAAGAGCACCGAGCTGAAGCAACTAAGTATGAATGTTCAGGATATGCCTGAATGTACAAGTGTGTGGTGTATGTAGGGGTAGGATAAACTTGTCAAATGTAATTTTCTATTTTCCTTTTTTCAGATGGAGACTTTTACCTGTCCTATCAAACCAACAACTTCTGAGAGTTCTCATAGCAGGGATGGACTGTAAACTGTTCAGTAAGAGTTAAAGAAAACCGACAAATCACAATGGCCATCAGAATGAAGGATAACTGTCATTTTTAGCGTGACAAAACGTGACACTGGAGGATGGACCACCAATAGAGAGACATTGTGGATTTCATGTGGCACCCTTTATGTTTGACCATGGAGGCTTGTGGAATTTTAGTTGCAGTTGAAAAAAGTGGAAAGCCACCCACCTGTCTTCTCTTATTTTAATGAATGAGGGCCATTAGTGGCATGGAAAGAAGAACTGTCATTGGACTACAGAGACTTATCACGGCACCGTGTGCTTCTGGCATAGTTGGGTTTTCACGAATGGCGCTGACCAACACAAACCCATCGTTTTTTTTTCCATTTCCAGTAAACTCTTGTCAATTTAAAAATGAAGCCAGCTCTTCGATACATACGGATTATTAATTTTCATGTTCTCTGGGCCAAAAACGTCCGTGCTATAATGGTGCAAAAACTCACATGTTGTCCTGGATTGTAGGCCCCTTACTGTAGACAACTGGGTCTGATAGATTGGTTATCCGGTGTAAGAAATTGAGGAGATGATGTGCAAAATTGTCTATTATGTTGCAGTGAACCTAATTTTAATTTATATAGAGCAGGGTTTCATGGAATCCTAGGGTTCCTCCAGAGGTTGCTAGGGGTCCCTTGAGCAAGCAGCAATTTCTGCTTCTCAGATAAGTTCCCACTAACAACCTTGATCTTTTTTGCTTGTTGTAAGGGGACAATTCTTCCCAATGTCCGTAAGTGTAAGGAACATTCTTCCCACTGGCGATCACACTATTGTATCATGAGTTATAGATTTAGTAATTTTTCCTTGAGCCCGGAAAGTTCTTTCAAGGGTTCCTAAGTGTTAAAAACGTTGATAAAGACTGTTTCTTCCTGGGTACTCTGTCTGCTGTTGGTGAGCCAGCCAGAATATCACACTAGGGCCAATTTTAGACAGGAGACAATTAGCCCACCTACACTTCTGTAAAGTGTGGGAGGAAAGTGAATTGCCTGGAGGAAATGCAAGTACAGGAGAAACATGCAAACTCCATGCGGATGGTGTCCTGGCCAGGATTCAAACTGAGGACTCCAGTGCTGCAAAGCAGAAGTGCGAACCACTAACCCACTGTTCTGCCCTTACAGCTGATATGGAGTGCGCCAACTACTTGGTGCACTAATGCGCCTATTTAATGTGTCCAAAGTATATGCAGTCATTTCAGTCACACGTTGCACCAATTGCAACAGCTCTGTGAAATGTCGTAAGTAAGGACTTTCCTATTTCTGACGTCACGTGTCACATTCAACAAGAATATTCTTTGTGAATCAGTGTTCATTCGAAGCACTGGTAAAAATGCTGCAGTCTGCACTGATTTAATGTTGCGCCCCTCTGACTTGTTGCAGACCTATCGACTTGTTCCATTTGCATCTGTTTGGAAATATTTTAATCTTTGTCATGTTTTTAAAATGTATTTTGGATTTAAAGAAAAACAAAAATGTACAAAATGACTTTTATAAATGCTAATAAATATACATTTTCACTTGCTCTATGCAGTGCTGAAAGTCATAAGAAAAAAAAAAGCTTTTGGAAAGGTTGGGACCTCTGTAAGGTTTTCATTGTTGAACCACACTCTATATCGGTCCTAATAACCATTATTGTTAGAGACGGTGCCGGGGAATCCAGCTTTTTATAGTTGTCGTTGGAACAGGAGATGTGGGCAAATCTTCCAACAACAAAAAATAAGGTTTCTAACCAGGGGCGGACTGACCATTTGGAAACTCGGGCACTGCTGGGGGCCCGGGGTCTGTAGGGGGCCCCATGAGATGCCCCTGGTACCTTTTTCATAGGCTTTTTTGAGTTTGGGTAAGGACACAGGGGCCCCATGATCCCCTATTGCCCGGGGCCCCATGAGTTGTCAGTCCACCCGTTTCTAACCATTCTCTGCTATATATTTACAGCTTTATACGAGCAAAGTAGGGAAACCATCCACGAGCCAAAAGGCTGCCACACCCCCAAATGGCTAGAAAATGGGAAATTCTCCCGTTGATGTGGCACTGCACTGCATCTGAGCACCACAAACCAAAAATGCTATTTCATTCATTTTTAATATTCAAAGCAAACTCGCCCCCCCCCCCCCCACACCCCCCATCCATCCATGTCTCCATGCTTTATTTTGCTGAGAAATCACTTTGAAAAACACCCCCTGGCATTTTTTGCAGTGGCCAACTTGAGTAAGGGCAGATGATTCATGTATTATTTACTTTCTGGAATACATCTGCCCTTAGCTCAGGCATAGGCTGATGAAGATGAGCTGAGAACCCTCCCCTCCTGAAGACTGCTGGGATGTGATGGGATGGAAGTAACTGAAGAAATGTAAAAAAAAAAATTAAAACAAGTAAATATAATATATATTTTTCTTATCTAATTACTAATTCCAGAACCATAAGGATTAAAAATAGTTATAAAGTGTTACTAGATCCAGGACCCTGCATTCACTATATCCGCTCTCCCCGGACCCTGCATTCACTATATCCACTCTCCCCCCGGACCCCGCATTCACCATATTCGCTCTCCCTGCACACTGCATTCACTATATCCACTCTCCCCGGACCCTGCATTCGCTATATTCGCTCTCCCTGGACCCTGCATTCACTATATCCGCTCTCCCTGCACACTGCATTCACTGTATCCGCTCTCCCCGGACCCTGCATTCACTATATCCACTCTTCCTGGACCCTGCATTCACTATATTCACTCTTCCTGGACCCTGCATTCACTACATCTGGTCTCCCCGGACCCTGCATTCATTATATCCACTCTCCCCAGACCTTCCATTCACTATATCCGGTCTCCCACAGTACACACAACATGGAAATGCAATTATTGTAGTAAATATAAACTGCTAAATACCTTTTCTCATCAGCAGTATATAGCAGTCTTGTGACCTCTATCATTGTCCAGCAGAGCACTGGTTAAAGCCTCTAGGAGGAGTTTTCATTTTGCTCTATGAGGATGCAGAACCCCTGACCTCTGTCTGGACAGCGCTGATTGGCCCTGTGCTGATCACATGCACTTTCCCAAAAAAAGAGAAAAAAACTCTCTAGCAATACACACCAAACTGAGCATGTGCAGAGTGACTCCACACAAAATGTCTTATTAGGAGATAATAGGGGGGCACTGCAAGAAGGGTAGGATCAGAGAAGACAGGATCAAACAGCCTTTTTACACAATGCAGAGGATTAACCCCTTAGGTTCCACAGGGAGTATAACAAGCATGCTTTACTGCATCTACAGACTGATTGTACTCTTGTGGGTTTAGAAACACTTTAAAGTTGATTGAGAGAGTGAAGTTCAACTTTAAAAGAAGTTTTTCAGAATGCTCTGGTTTGAATAAATTCACAACCAAATACTCCAGAAGTTCAGGCATAGAAAGGTCATTATACATATTTTTGGCTTTAAATATACAATAAAGCAGGGCTTTTTTTCAGCGGGAACACAGTTCCGGCCCCTCCAGCACTGAATGTGTGTAATGGCAAGGGATATGGGGTGTGCTGGAGGATCTATTGATGGTGCCTGCTGGGGGACATATTGTTGCAGGGGGGTCTATTGATGCTGGTGGGGGATATATTTTTGCTGGGGGTCAATTGTTGATGGGATGGATCTACTGTTGAGAAAGGGGTCTATTATTGCTGATTGTTGGGAGGGTCTATTGATGCTGGAGGGGAATCTATTGTTGCAGGAGGGGGATGTATTGTTGCTGGAGGGGGATGTATTGTTGCTAGAGGGGGATGTATTGTTGCTGGAGGAGGATGTTTTGTTGCTGGCTGCTTTTCTTGTTATCATTAACAAATTCAATACACATTACTTAGCACCACAAAATGATACTTGGTTCTGTGTTCTCTAAAAGGGTGGTACTTGGGGGGGGGGGGGGGTACCAAGGAACAGTGCTTGGAAGAGGGTAGGGGTTGGAGACAAGGGGTGACTTGCAAAGGGAGAATTCCTGCACCTACTGTCTGAGAAAAAAAAGCCCTGCAATAAATTAATGTAAATCCAAGAAGAAATATGTCATTTATTGCAGCTTACCATTCCTTGGATGTGATGGCTGCATTAGTTTTCTTTATTTCCACCTACTAATCCCACAAGTAGCACACTTCCTGCCCTAGGTTGACAACAATGACTGTACTCTATTTATGGAGAAGCAGCGTTGTCGCCCAAAGATATGAGTACAGAACATCTCCCCCCTCGCTTCTTCTTTATCATTTATACCATGGGGGGGTAGTTTATTTATTTTTATTTATTTATTTCAGGTACTTATATAGTGCCGTCAATTTACACAGCGATTTACATATATATTGTACGTTCACATCACTCCCTAAGGCAGGCCATACATGGGTCAAATTCTGAAAAATTTTCTTTAGAAAATCAGAAACTTCCATGTGTTTTGTAATCTGATGTTGTCACCATGGATTTCGAAATTTGACCAACCGAGCCTTCAGTTTAATCTCATGTTGCTTCAGAAAAGAATTTTTGTGGCTGGGAATCTTTTCTTTCCAGGCCATTTCTTTTTTTATTATATCTCCCATCGTTGATTAGAATTTCTTTCTTGGTTTTCAAGTAACTTCTTAACCCCTAGACACCGAGTGCATGCAAATATGTGGCCTCTCCGGGTCTGAGTCTTGATGCTGAGTGGCCGCATATTTGCGTTCCATTAGAAAATACATAGGTGCTGAGAGCGTGCACCCTGCGCGCTCCCAGCACATATGTCCGTGACTCACGGAAAGGTCCCGATCTCCCCTTCCGATTGGGACCTTCTCCGATCATGTGACCGCCATCATGGTGAATCACGGTGGTCATATGACCATAAAATCCCGGCTTCTGAAACTCTTAAAGGGCCGGAAGGCGCCAGCGCAAAGGGGTTAACCATGAAGTATTTTTCCATTATTCCTATACCCCTGCGTGGGTTAACCTCTCTAAAAATACAATCTTTTGTTCTGTTACCTTCATCGTTTACACATTGTATGCTCAAAAACTCTTTTAACCTCTTCACCCCGACAGTGCGCAAATATGTGACTGGGCCTTGACGCTAAGTGGCCGCATATTTGCATACCATTTGTAAGCAAACGTGTGCTGAGAGCACAGGCCCTGTGTGATGGACGTGTCTGGGTTTGGTGGTTGCCAGGAGAATGGTACTTGCCTGACTGCATTATGCCAAGTGAAAAGTTTGGTGGAGGGAGATTATGGTGTGGGGTTGTCTTTCAGGGTTTGGGCTTGGCCCCCTAGTTCCAGCAAAGGGAACTCTTAAGGCAACATTTTGGACAATTTCATGCCCCCAACTTTGTGGGAAGAGTTTGGGGATGGCCCCTTCCTGTTCCAACATGACTGCCCACCAGTGCACAAAGCAAGGTCCATAAAGACATGGAGGAACCAGTTTGGGGTGGAGGAACTTGACTGGCCTGCACAGAGTCCTGACCTCAACCCCGTAGAACACCTTTGGGATGAATTAGAGTGGAGACTGTGAGCCAGGCCTCCTCCCCCGACATCAGTGCCTGACCTGACAAATGTTCCCCTGGAAGAATGGTCCAACCTTCCCATAGACACCCTCCTAAACCTTGTGGATGGCCTTCCCAGAAGAGTTGAAGCTGTTATAGCTGCAAAGGGCGGGGCCAACTCAATATTGAACCCTACGGACTAAGACTGGGGGGCCATTAAAGGTCATGTGCATGGAAAGGCAGGCGCCCCAATACTTTCGTCCATATAGTGCGTGTGAAGCGGGTCTATGAGCAGGATTCCCCTCACTGTGGGAGATTTCCTCTCACTTCCTGTTGCGTCTCTGGGACAGGAAGTGAAATTTCCTCAATGAAAAAATAAACTGGCAGTTCAAACCTTCCCTGCTCCATCCATATATAAAAAACAAAACATTTTAGGGATGAAAACTTTATCTGTATTGCCTGAAAGGTGATTATTGCCTAAAACGTTCCAGAAACAGTTCTGAAGTCTCCTGGCGATCAGGAAGTGTGTCTGCCCGGTGTGTGGTCTGTGTAGTGCGATGTGATGATAAATGATTTGTTTTTCCGAGAAATGAGATAAAACCATCTGTTATTTATATTGTTTGTGTTGTTTCCATGGAGACGCTTCTCTATGGGCTGCGAGAAAAACAAACTACTACCACAGCGGCCTCTGCTGGTGGACAGCGATATTACACCGTCACCAACAGAGCCCTGCGCGGAGTGACGTCGCGCGCTCTCATTGGCTCCGCCGGTTAGACTCTGTTGGTGTCGCTGAAGAATGACATCGGGCGAAGTGGTTGCTGTGGCAACGGGACGCTGCGGCCTTGTCATGGCTCTCTCCCGGGTTCTGCTCCTCATCTTCGGCTTGTGGGGTCAGGCCGGGCCGGTGAGGGGGGCCTCCAGCGGTAAGCGGAGCCTTAGAGAGAAACCCTGTGTGGGAGGAGGGGGCACCCGGAGCCCCGTGCCTCGCCACTCTGCAGGGATCAGATAGGCTGTGTAGTGGTGCGCTGCACACATGGCCCCCCCTGTGCTGGGATCCGGGCAACTCTGTGTTCCCTCTGATAGCCCTCCAGATGTACACTGATACATCCACATGGGGGGGGGGGGGGCTCTGAGGATCAAGCTTGGGGGGCGCTATGGGGAGCTGGAGGTTCTGCGTGGTGAGGGGAAGGGGTGATGTCGGGATGCATAATGGGGGTGCTGTGGGGAAGCATGTTGGTGGGGGGATGGGGGTGCTGTGGGGAAGCATGATGGTGGGGGAGATGGGGAAGCATGATGATGGGGGTGCTGTGGGGATGGGGGTGCTGTGGGGAAGCATGTTGGGGGGGGGGAATGGGGGTGCTGTGGGGAAACATGTTGGTGGGGGGGGGGGGGGAATGGGGGTGCTGTGGGGAAACATGTTGGTGGGGGGGGGGGTGGGGGTGCTGTGGGGAAGCATGTTGGTGGGGGGGGGGATGAGGGTTCTGTGGGGAAGCATGTTGGTGGGGGGGATGGGGGTGCTGTGGAGAAGCATGTTTGTGGGGGGGATGGGGGTGCTGTGGGGAAGCATGTTGGTGGGGGGGATGGGGGTGCTGTGGGGAAGCATGTTGGTGGGCGGTGCTGTGGGGAAGCATGATGATGATGGGGGTGCTGTGGGGAAGCATGATGGTGGGGGAAATGGGGGTGCTGTGGGGAAGCATGTTGATGGGGGTGCTGTGGGGGAAGCATGTTGGTGGGGGGGATGGGGGTGCTGAGGGGAAGCACATACACAGGGAAGCATTTTTCTTCAGCTTTTCAGGCACTTTTTTTTTTTACGTAAAAATGCTTCAAAAACTCCTCAGTGTGAAAGTAGCCTTATACTCAGGGCATGTCTTGAGTGAGAACTGTCACAGTTGCTTGTGCTCTCAGCTGAACTGTCAAGACAATAAATGGCTACTGTCATACCTGATCACATGTGCAGCACCCTGGCTACTGCGGATCAAACAGAAGCTAAGATGGCAGCTTCCTTGGCTGTAAAGGATCGGAGGGTTTAGTTCTGCTTTAATCTCAGAAACAGTGAAGACATTATGTATAGCCTGGGCCTGCGATCCAGAGATTGATATGAAGGCTGGCGCGGTCCCTGCAGGCAGGTGGGAGGTTATAATAGACACTTCTTGGCCTAGGTTAGGTTCTCTGGAAGAATGTCCTCTAAGCACTATATGACTTCTGAGTCCAGAAAACGTTTCTGTCCGGTAATCAGATTCTCTTTTGGTGGTCAGGTGTGACAATCTGCTCCTGTGACCTTTCCCCCGGGAACTGTGACCTGAACTGCTGCTGTGACCCCGACTGCTCCCTGAGTGATCCCACCAGTGTCTTCTCTTCTTGTGTACCCGGCAGCACCAAGTAAGGCCTTCATCTTCTATCTCCCACATACACCGGATCATGATGATCATTATTTGGGCTTCAAGCAGACTTTGTATTCCAAGGCAGATCTCATTCCTTTATGTTATTATTATTATACAGGATTTATATAGCACCAACAGATTGCTCAGCACTGTACAATATAACGGGAGACAATACAGCAACAATACAGTTCAATACAAGAGGGATAGGAGGGCCTGATCCTGGGAGCTTACAATCTAAGAGGGAGGGGCTAGTGGTACAAAAGGTAGTAACTGTGAGGGATGGACTGGTAGGAGGAATAGAAGATTTCATTATTAGCTGAAGGCAGGATAGGCTTCCCTGAAGAGATAGGTTTTCAGAGATCGCCTAAAAGTGAGCAGAGTAAGTGATAGTCTGATAAATTGGGGTAGAGAGTTCCAGAGGATGGGGGAAGCTCTGGAGAAGTCCTGGAGATGAGCATGGGAGGAGGAGACAAGGGAGCTAGAGAGCAGGAGGTCGTACGGGGAGCGGAGAAGACAGTTTGGGTGATATTTGGAGACAAGATTGGTGATGTAATTTAGGGCAGAGTTATAAATGGCTTTATATGTTATTGTTAATGTTTTGAATTTTATTAGTTTGGGCAATGGGAGGCCAGTGGAGGGATTGGCAGGGAGGGGTAGAGGACACTGAGTGGAGGCCAGTGGAGGGATTGGCAGAGAGGGGTGGAGGACACTGAATGGAGGACAGTGGAGGGATTGGCAGAGAGGGGTGGGAGGACACAGAATGGAGGACAGTGGAGGGATTGGCAGAGAGAGGTGGAGGACACTGGAGGTCAGTGGAGGGATTGGCAGAGAGGGGTGGCAGATACAGAACGGTTAGTAAGGTGGATGAGTCTGGCAGCAGCATTCATGATAGACTGAAGAGGGGATAGCCTGCGATGAGGTCGGCCAATGAGGAGGGAGTTACAATAGTCAAGGTGAGATATAACAAGGGAGTGAATGAGTTGCTTAGTGGTTTCCGAAGTTAGGAACGGGCGTATCTTGGAGATGTTGCGGAGGTGAAGTCTTCAAAATTTGGACAGCGATTGGATTTGGGGCTGAAAGGACAGATGGTAGTCTAGGATTACCCCTAGTACCCTGGCATGAGGGGATGGACTGATGATTGTGTTATTGATCTTAATAGAGAAGTCAGGGGAGGGGGCACGGGCTGGGGGGAATACTAGGAGCTCAGTTTTGGAAAGATTAAAGTTTGAGGAAGTGGAGTGACATCCATGCCGATATGTCACTTAGTAGGCTGGGGATGCGATTGGAGACTGAAGAGGTGAGGTGAGGGGTAGAAAGATAGATTTGTGTGTCATCAGCATAGAGATGGTACTTAAAGCCATGGGAGTTTATCAAGTGACCAAAGGAGGAGGTGTAGATGGAGAAGAGAAGGGGTCCAAGGACAGAACCTTGAGGGACCCCTACAGAAAGAGGGAGTGGAGAGGAGGAGGCAGAGTTATAGGTGACGCTGAAGGAGCGCTGCGATAGATAGGAGGAGAACCAGGAGAGAGCGGAGTCTCTGAGGCCAAGAGAGTGGAGTTTATTGAGGAGAGGATGGTCAACCATATCAAAAGTTGCAGAGAGGTGCTCCATTCCTTCTATGTATGGGATTTTTACAAATATTTTCTCTCTGGTTTCTGCTCAGGGCGGAGAGGTTGATCTGTCTGTACAGCTGGCTGATATTTCGCAACAACACCCCTTACACCACCACCGTGGTCGGCTCACCCCCTACTCAGCTCTTCTGTGTCCTCTCAGCTGATGGTAAGTGTCTTATGGTTCCTTCTGGTTGTAGAGGTTGTCAGTCTGGGGGAGGAAGGGTTAAGTGCCTGTGTTGTCCATGGCAACTTTTAGGCCTCCTTCACACGGCCCTTGAAGCCGGCCATACACGGGTTGAATCTTTTCTAAGAATTTTCATTTGAATTTCACATCGTTAGTGGGCCACAGCAATGGGTAATTTTCGAGCGACCATCGAATTTGAGTGATCGGCCATGTTGGAAATTTTTTGAAAAACGAACGGATTTATAATTAATGATGGGGGAATCGTTCAAGAAATGTAATTGGGAAATAAATGAGCGTGAGCTGTGACCTGGAAGGAAAAGAAAATTCTTGGCCACGAAAATCCTTTATTGTAGCAACAGGAGGTGGAATTAAAGGCTTGGTTGGTCGAATTTCGAAATTAATGGTGGCGCCATCGGATTACAAAACACACAAAATTTCTGATTTTCTAAAGAAAATTAGTTCAGAATCCGACCCGTGTATGGCCTGCATTAGCCACATGCACCAGATTCCAGCAGCAAGAATCGGCATATTCTTGCAACTTGAATGCCCAGTATTATTATTATTATACAGTATTTATAAAGCGCCGATAGTTCGCTCAGCGCTGTACATTACAAAGGGGGACAGAACATGTGACAGAACAATACCAATACAATGCAAAACATGAGGGGATCGAGGGCCCTGCTCTTTGGAGCTTACAATCTAGAAGGGAGGGGATAGTGGTACAGGAGGAGATAGCTGTGGGGGATGGAGTGGTAGGAAGGGTGGAGGAGGTCGGCAAGTTAGCAGGGGGTAGGCTTCCCCAGCGTCCCTGGGTTTTCAGGGTGCGCCTAAAGGAGAGGAGAGTAGGTGATAATCTGATGGGTTGGGGAAGGGAGTTCCAGAGGATGGGTGACACCCTGGAGAAGTCCTGGAGGCGGGCATTGGAGGAGGAGACCAGGGAACTAGAGAGAAGGAGGTCTTGTGAGGAGCGGAGTGTGCGTGCTGGGCGATACTTGGATATTAGGTCGGTGGTGATGTAGTTCGGGGCAGTATGGTGGACAGCTTTACATAGTAACCCCTTCACACCAACGTCACACAAATATGCAGCCTCACAGAATTGGGCTTTTTTCCATATTTGCGTACCTGTCTTTGTGCTGGGAACGTGCCGCACTGGGGTGTCACTGAGAGTCCCGGGTCCTGTTCTAACGATCGCTTGATTCCGGGTCACATGATCGCTGTGATAGCTTCTGATTGGCTATCACAGTGATCAGTCACTGTACAGCCCGGCCCTCTTGTTTTTTTCGCTCTCTATGAATGGAGGCGAGAGATACATTGTATATCTTTCTCTCCTTGTAGAGAGAAGAAAAACTAAAATAAATAAATAAATACATATTACAAAATAAAATAAAACATAAAGAAAAATACCTAGATCAAGGTTTGGTCTAGTTTAGTGCCAGGGTTAGTGTTTGGCTCAAGGTCAGGGTCAAATGTCAGTTTTTTTTTGTTTTTTTTTTTTAAATTGGTATCATTGTCAGTGTGTGTAAAAAAGCAAAATGTGCACTGCTGTTTCTGGGCTGTATTACGGGTACAAACAACAAATAACATACACATATGTGGTATCGCTGCGATCGTTAAGAGCTGGAAAATGTATTTTGGGTTGTTCTTTGGTGGTAGGTTATGGTCGGAACAAGAAACACACAGCTAAATAAAAAAAAATTTTTTTTTTTTACTATTTTGGGCCAGTTTTCCTTTTGATAATAAAAAAAAAAATCAAGAGATATCCATTACTATTTACCACCAAATGAAAGCCCAATTTGTCCTGACAAAAACACGGTATAATTCACCTGGATGTAAAAAGTAGTTGTACAGTAGTAATGACATGTATGGTTTTACTAACACATGTTAAAGTTGTAAAGTTTAACCTAAAAGGCTTTAAGATTTGTTTTTCCCTTAGGCAAGAAGGGGTTAATAGTGGTGACCACCACCCTTTATGTACTAATGACAGGCTGACAGTTGTCACCTCTGTTCTCATGTAGTCACACAACATGGGGTTACCTGCAGTTATGGATGGCTGTCCAGGACTGAACGCAGTCAGCTGTGTCCAGATGTCCCTAACCAAAGATAACTGCTTAGTGTGCGGCCACCAATGATAGCCCCTCTTGGACTGCCTGCCTGCAACGTACTTTGGACAGGCAATCCATTCAGGCACAACAACGTACTGGTACATCGCTGACAAAGCAGCATGCTGGTGCTGACAGGGGAGAAATCTGTGTTGTTTACATACAGACCTCTCTCCTGTCAATGTTCCTTGGCGATCGCCGGGTGCTGGCAGAGAATCTGTGTCCGGGACCCGGTGATTGACAGCTGTAGCCGCCAATGGCGGCGCAGGTAGGGTGGCGCGCACGCTACCTACCTGCAAATGCAGGCACAACAGTGCACTGGTACATCACTGCCTGCTTCTTGATCTAGGGTATGCGCATGTGCCCCCCCCCCCCCAACACACACTGTCATTGTACACAGCGTGAGTCGTTCAGCATCTACTGGCCAATGATTCATGCTGGGACCTACTGCTCGGCTGTGTCCAATCACAGCCCAGAGCCCTATGTTGACAATCAATACAGGGATCTGTACAAAGGGAATTATCTCTGTTTCTCATCCCTGCAAAGCAGGAATAAGAAACAAAGAGAGTAAAAGCAGCACGTAATACACTACACACATTACACATTGTTAGACACACATTTAACCCTTTGATTGCCCTAGATGTTAACCCCTTCCCAGCCAGCATCATTAGCACAGTGACAGCGTATAGTATTATCACTGATCACTGTGTTTGTGCCACTGGAGATGTCAGTGGCAGTTAGTTCCCCTCAGCATCAGTGTCATAGTGCCCGCCGCACTCCCACTATAAATTGATTACTGCCATTAGTAGTATTAAGAAAAAAAAAATTCCAATATATATTCTATAGTTTGTAGACACTATACCTTTCATCCAAACCAATCCATGTACACTTATTGGGATTTTTTTTTTTTTATCAAAGACATACATTTTGGCCAAAATGTATGAAGAAATTAGATTTTTTTCTATTTTTTTACTGGACATGTTTTAGCAAACAGTAAAAAATATTGTATTTTTTTTTTTTCAAAATCGCTCTTTTTTTTAGTTTATAGCACAAAAAAACCCAGTGATGATCAAATACCACCAAAACTAAGCTCTATTTGTATGAAAAAAAATTGTATAAATTTTGTTTGGATATAGTTTTGCATAACCGCGCAGTTACCAGTTAAAGTAGCGCAGTGCTAAATAGGATAAAAATGGCCTGGTAATATAAAAAACTAAATATCCAGTGACTCTTGCCGCTGCAATCTGGTGTGTGCTGCTAAACAGCCATGTGAAGTAGGCCTAATGCCCCGTACACATGATAAGAAAATCGTACGATTTCACGGAACCGCTGATCGAACGATTTTCTCTTCGTTGATGAGCAGGATGTTTTAATTGATAACGATATTGTGAACGAAAAAATCCGGTTGAACAACAGTGAAAAATGTTGTCGTTTTGCATACGAACGACCGATTTTCTATGCGGTGTTATGACGGTCATACGAAAAAAATCCATCAAGCGCTATCACGCATGGGCGGAAACAGAAGATGGCCCGGATGTTTATGTCCAAGGAATCTTCATAAACACGAACAAAATATCCAAATGTTAAAAGTAGATCGGCCTCATGAGATATTGAAACCAGAATTGTGCAGATTATATTTTATGTATCACTATTTATGTATATAGGTCATGGAATAAACCATATCATACTCATTGCTGGTCATTGTTGTGTATATCGCGCTCGTTCTGGCCGGAAGAACGTGACTATGTATTGCCTGACGAACAATTTTTTTTTAGATTGGTTAATGTGGGCCACGATTTCGACCAACGAACTAAAGCTTCTCGGTCATCGGATGACCGATCGGTCGATTTTCTAATCGTGTATTCCCACCTTAAGTCTCATCAGCACTTTTTGCTTCCACTATCTACCTCCTGTAAAAAATGACAGCTGAATTGTGATCGGTCAGTATGGGACATAATGCTCTCTATGCTCTGTCATTGCAGCCACCCTGAATTTCTTTGTCACCCCTCGGACAGTGGACGCATCGAACTTCCTGTCTGTCAGTGAGCCGTACAAAGGCCCGTCCTTCTCTGCTGCCTCACAGAGTGTCCCTGTCTTCTCCAGCTTCTACAAGGTGAGGGGGATTAGCTGGAAGCTGATGCAGAGCTTGTGTCTATAACCACATGTCTGATCTGTCGTTCTTCTCTCTAGGCTGGTGATCCTGTCCTCACAGTGTCTTCTTCCAACACTCTGAGCGTGCTGAGACAGCCAGCGCCTGTGGGGGCTCAGAATCTCTGTTCAGACAACAATCCTGCCAGTAAGAGTTGCTTTGTAACTGAAAGAGAACACTGATGTGTCTACCTGTATGTACAAAATCTGGGTGTCAGATCACTCCCAAAAAATACAATATTTTTAGTGCCACATCGTAATTATACCAGTCACAAATGAAGGAAAGGAAACGGAGGAGAAATTGCAAATGGACTTTAAAGGCACAGACCTTTCATACACATATTGGTAAAATGATTTGTACTTTTTTATTATTATTATTATTATTATTATTATACAGTATTTATAAAGCGCCAATAGTTCACTCAGCGCTGTACATTACAAAGGGGGACAGAAACATGTGACAGAACAACAACAATACAATGCAAAACATGAGGGGATCGAGGGCCCTGCTCTTTGGAGCTTACAATCTAGGAGGGAGGGGATGGTGGCACAGGAGGAGATAGCTGTGGGGGATGGAGTGGTAGGAAGAGTGGAGGAGGCCGGCAAGTTAGCAGGGGGTGGGGTAGGCTTCCCTGAAGAGATGGGTTTTCAGGGTGCGCCTAAAGGAGAGGAGAGTAGGTGATAATCTGATGGGTTGCGGCAGGGAGTTCCAGAGGATGGGTGACACCCTGCAGAAGTCCTGGAGGCGGGCATGGGAGGAGGAGACCAGGGAACTAGAGAGAAGGAGGTCTTGTGAGGAGCGGAGTGTGCGTGCTGGGCGGTACTTGGATATTAGGTCGGTGATGTAATTTGGGGCAGTATGGTGGACGGCTTTGTACGTCAGTGTTAGGATTTTGAATTTGATCCGTTGCGCAATCAGAAGCCAGTGGAGGGATTGGCAGAGGGGGGTGGCAGAAATGGAGCGGCTGGAAAGGTGAATGAGTCTGGCAGCCGTATTCAGGATCGACTGAAGCGGGGATAGCCAGCGGTGAGGCAGGCCAGACATTATGACAATGAACCATGAAAAAAAACATCTTGCAGTTTAAAAAAGATCATTCTATACTGTCCCCGCAGACAATGTCCCACAACCCACCATATTACAAGAAACACACTAGTGATGAGGAATACAAAACCATCAGAAGGATCCTATGGGGGGTGAGAGACATTAAAAAGGAAAATGGCCCAGCATGTTTCGTGACAATTATTGCTTCTTCAGGGGCTTAGTAGTAAAATCTAAAAAAAAGTCATATTATATTATTGTATGACCTTTCCCTTTTCTTGTAGGTACATGTTGTAATTCGATATATTCAATATATGTATATCTTTTTTAGATTTTGTGGAATATTGTCTGTGGGGACAGTATAGAATGATCTCTTTTAAACTGCAAGATGTTTTTTCATGACTCATTGTCATAATAAAGTACAAATGATTTTACCAATATGTGTTTGAAATTTCTGTGCCTTTAAAGTCAATTTGCAATTTCTCCCCCGTTTTCTTCCCTTCATTTTTGTCTACCTGTATGTAATCCTGTAGTACATTTACTAGTGATCAGTTTATGGTTATCCATTGCTTTAAATCCCAACTCTGGGAAACTCAGCTATGGATGTTTCACTATGAGCCTGTGCTTCTTAATGAAAACTACGGTCTAAGATGGCAAATGCCTCACCACGTAGTTCACACCACATAGGGAAAGAAATACACCCGCTCATAGTGTAGTATTTTACATAAAAGATGTAATACACTCACAACAACCAGAGTAAGAATCAGCAAATAAAAGTAATGTTTCCAAGCAAGAAGATGGCCATGGTCCATGGCGGTGCGCAATGACGTCACACGTAGTTCCATCCCACGCATTTCGTCACTCAAAGGACAACGTCAGGGGCGATGTCGCGCCTGATAAGTAGGGACAGGAATGAACCATGCCCCATTTCAATTGCGCTCCACACACACCAGAACAGACCTTAATGACCAGGAAATCCAACCCCTAACCTTGGATCTAACTGGTCAACAGACCATTGACTGCATTCCAAGTACGGAAGCGAGACCACTAGCTTCAAAGGCTCTGGGAAAAAAAAAAAAACAGAAAAAAAGGATGGAAACTTTTAACTTCATGTAAATCTGTATTTGTACAATATATATATCCTAGTGTAGGTGTTGCTATAGGTAAGAGCAGGCAAGTGGCCTTCCCACATATTTACCAACGCATGCAAGCTGAGACCTCTGTTTTCTATTAACATCTAGAAACAAACTTGCATTAGGGTTTTCTTTGCTGGCTAGCAATCCTGAGTGTTGGAAAACTTTTTTGCACTTTGTAATGATTGCACACCTTCCTAGAGGGATATCCATTCACTGGGCTCATACCAATTGTCCTTTTGCTCAGTTAGGGGTAAAATACTTTTGACTAACATCTGGCTATTATATAACAAGCAGCTTCATATCTAACACATACACAACTGTCTGCAGATGCCTGTGTTTTATTTCCCAGGATTCTTGCTGAGCGGCAGCACATTATGCCTGCGGGTGTTCAGTAATCTGACGGACAGCTGTGAGACGGACCCCTCCCTGGACTCATCCTACTATCACCAGGATATCGCAGTGCTCAGGGTAACCTCATGGCTGGCTCTGCCAGTATTACAGACCTAATAGGTGGACATTTATCGGAAGGATTGATGAGAATGTGGATAGAACACTGATGGGGGGTACAATGTGGGATCTGAACAGGGGCGAACTGACAACTCATGGGGCCCCTGGGCAATAGAGGAACATGGGGCCCCTGTGTCCTTGCCCAAACTCAAAAAAGCCTATGAAAAAGGTACCAGGGGCATCTTATGGGGCCCCCTACTGACCCTGGGCCCTCGGGCAGTGTCCGAGTTTCCAAATGGTCAGTCTGCCCCTGGATCTGAGTGATCATGGTCTAGAGCAGGGGTAATAGGAAGAAGGGTCAGCCGCACACCGGAGGAGACATGAATATAGCTTAATAATAACCACGAGATTAAGCAGGATATCGTGTGAAACGCATTAACAGGTCCTGTATTCCTGTCCTGGTGTTTTGTGTGTCCTATGGATCAATAAATACACACTATATTCATCTCTCCTCCGGTGTGCGGCTGACCCTTCTTCCTATTGCATCGTGTGTGGTGGCGAGCCGGAGCCGGCACCTGTTGTGGATTGATCTGGATTGGTTTCCTGAGTGGTATACCTTTGTTCTTTGGCTAGAGCAGGGGTAGGCAACCTTAAAGAGGTGGAGATCTACCCGAACAACAGTCAAAGATTACCGGGCATGGTGTCACCTCCTCACACCTGATTTAAACCTCTAATTGCTGTACCATCGTGTTACAATTGCATGGGTTCAAATCACGTGGCAAGGAGGCAACATATCACCTCCTCACCACCTGTCACACACACTCGGATCGCTTTTCAGAGGAACAGCAGTGTCTGCTGCACTTGTGAATGAGCTGTTAGTTGCATCCAGCAGCGGCACTCTTAGGGCTTGTTCACATGTTAAGTTGAGGGGGGGGGGGGGGGGTAAAAACCCTGTGGTTGAGTCATGGTTATACCACCCCCAGTCTCTACCCCCTTTATCTGCTGAGGGAGCAGCCAAGGGTATACACATGCCGCAGCAGGAATTAAACCCCCTGTTGCTTTTGGTACCTTTCATTCGAGACCCATTCAAGCAAATGGGGCCACTCTGCAAGTACCCCACAACTGCATGCTTCCGCGGGGTCCAAGGGGTTAAAAAGCAGGTGGTGAGAAAGCACCACACCACTGCCTGTTTAACCCCTTGTTTGCTGTATTATACAAGGTTGCCGGGCACTTGCACTGTGGCCTCATTCACTTGAATGGGTCATGCTTGACAAGTGCTACACCCACCAACCATGACAGGGTGTAGGAGCCAGGACTACAGAGGAGGCATCGGCTTATGCCTCTCTTGCTCCCTACTACAGCTCCAACTTTGCAAGTAGTCCCTCTGCACTGCACTCTGATGCTCTGGGATGGCAGGTCAGCAAGCCCAGACCACAATCTACCAGTCACCTGGCCGAGATCTACTGGTAGACCGGAATCTACTGGTTGCTGACCCCTGGTCTAGGCTATGTCTTGCATCCTAAATTTAGTGGGATGTCCCATATGAGAATATATGAGTTTTTAATGGCAGTTTTAATATGTTTTTCTTATATACTCTGATTTCATCTATGGTGATCCTACCAGAATTCCTTTCCTATGGTGACAACGCCTGCCTGGCTCAGCTGTGGTGTTGTCACCCTTTCCTGTGTTGGAACACAAGCAGCTGTGCCAATGCAGGTTCTGCAGTAAAACTGTGATGTCCAGTCACCTGTGGAGTGCGCACAGGTCCACAGGAAGTTCATACGAAGAATCCACAGGATGTGCGCACTGCAGAGAACAATGAAAACAGGAAATTACATTTTTCATTTGTGAGACTTAAGTTCTATTTTAAAATATCTCAAAAAGCGCTGTCTGTGAATATATTGCTTCAGATGATGGATATAGCCGCACTGTAATGTGTTCTTCTCTCTTCCCTAAAGGTGCCGGCAGGTGTCTCTGGTCTGGGAGTCAGTACGGTAAGAGGAGGATGGATTGGATACAGAATACAGTGTGGAATCCGAACAATCACACGTTAATCCTTTCCCTTCACAGGTCACAATAATCCCCTCCGTGAGAGTAAGGCCGGGGTCTACTGGGGGACCAGTGTAACAATGTTGTCTCCAAGGTAATAACAGTCTTTGCACAGTTGTACCGGCTCCTCTCCTGGACTGATATGGCTCTGATTTCACTGCACACTGTGAGCTTCTCACAATGTGCATTAGAAACCGCAGCAAATCAGATAGCGCCCCTCTCATTTCATGGCTGGAAAAAGTACTGTACATCATCTAGCCCACGGGTATCAAACATAAGGCCCACATACATACATACATACACATATATATATATATATATATATATATATATAGTACATTCACATCAGTCCCTAACCCTCAAGGGGCGTACAATCTAAGGTCCCTAACTCACATTCATACATATACATACTAGGGCCAATTTAGACAGGATCCAATTAACCTACCAGCATGTCTTTGGAGTGTGGGAGGAAACAGGAGTACCCTGAGAAAACCCACGCAGGCACAGGGAGAAACATGCAAACTCCAGGCAGGTGGTGCCATGGCTGGGATTCAAACCAACGACCCGAGTACTGCCAGGCGGAAGTGCTAACCATTTAGCCACTGTGCTTCAGTGCTGTGCAGGGATTGGAGGAGACTGTCCTGAAGCCTCCTTGGATGTGTGAGGCTGCAGGGGGGGAGGGGAGGCGGATCCAGCAAATGCCATCCTTGCCTAGGCAAGGTGTAAGGAAGTGGGAGCAAGCACCTTCTTTGAGATGCACAGGAGTGTAATGTGAACACAGCCTTGGAGCCTCATTGCATTTACTTGCATGGTTCACACCTACAGGTACAACCAAGCAAGGGCACATTTCTGCGCATGGTGCGTAAGGTGAAAACACGGCACCATGGGGCTTGGCACATGCGAAAACACAGGTCATTTGCAGATGATGGGGGTACCATTTAACAATGAATGCACCATCTTGTATCTGCTAAAGCAAAGCATGTGTCTTATCATGTTGGGAAAGCTCACGTTTTTGTGCGCTTTGCAGACACGCAAAGATCTGAATCTAGTGTAACTACAGCATCATTTTATATGTCATTTTGAAAAAAAAAAACTTTGTTAGATTAAAATAACAAACAATTTTTTTCAGGTGACGTACACAGTGCGGTATAACGGAACTCAGGGCATCTCTGGTGTAAGTGTTGACTTTGTACTCAGCAATGTGTCCATCACAAGTACCAGCATACAACAGAATACCACCGTCCTATATAAGGTAAGGTATGACACCTCCTACTCTGTGTTATGTCACGGTCTGTGACAGTTCTCTCTGATTGATCTGTAATGATTCTGTAAAATGTTTTCATCTGATCCCCTGTGCTGTGTGTGATGTCACCTAGCTTTGTTGATGATGTCATATCTCTACTTACAGTCCATCACTGCAGCCGTTGGCAGTTCCGTACAGGCTCGGAGTGGGAATCCGGTTATCTTGTTGGATACCCTGTGCTGAGCAACATTGGAAATGTATCCTAACTAAAACCTTCCCTTTATGGAACCAAACATAATATTTCTCTGATCTTGTTATGGTTATTGCATGTTCTAAGGATGAACAATCCACAAAATAACTCGACTACTTAGGCTGCGTTCACACTAGCGTTGTCAGCAGGCGGCAGACTGGCGTTTGGCAAGTGTTTTTATCGCTTTCCAAACACCTCGGAAAATTCTGCACATTGCAGCACATAGTGCTGTTCACACAGAAGCGTTAGCGTCGCGTCAAAACCAACGGGAATGTGAGCTAGGTTTAATATAGAAAATGGTCTTAAAGCGTAAATCAACTGCTGAATAAATCTCCTGCCCCTTTTTTTTCCACTTTAATGTGACCTATAAACTGTACAACTCAATTGAAAAACAAATTGAAATCTTTTGGGCGGGGAGTAAACATTAAAAAACTAAAAATGTGGTTGCATAAGTGTGCACACCCTCTTATAACTGGATGTAGCTGGGTTCAGAATTAAGCAATCACATCCAAATCATGTTACATAGGAGTCAGTACACACCTGCGATCATTTAAAGTGCCTTTGATTTAACACCACATAAAGTTCAGCTGTTCTAGTCTTTCCTGACATTTTCTTAGTCGCATTCTACAGCAAAAGCCATGGTCCTCAGAGAGCTTCCAAAGCATCAGAGGGATCTCATTGTTAAAAGGTATCAGTCAGGAGAAGGGTACAAAAGAATTTCCAAGGCATTAGATATTCCATGGAAACACAGTGAAGACAGTCATTATCACGTGGAGAAAATATGGCGCAACAGTGACATCACCAAGAACTGGATGTCTGTCCAAAACTGATGAAAAAAGACGAGAAGAAAACTGGTCTGGGAGGCTGCCAAGAGGCCTACAGCAACATTAAAGGAGCCGCAGGAATATCTGGCAAGTACTGGCTGTGTGGTCTATGTGACAACAATCTCCCGTATTCTTCATATGTCTGGGCTATGGGGTAGAGAAGCCTTTTCCTACGAAGAAAAATATCCCAGCCCGAGTAAATTTTGCAAAAACACATCCGAAGTCTCCCAAAAGCATGTGGGAAAATGTGTTCTGGTCTGATGAAACCAAGGTTGAACATTTTGGTCATAATTCCAAAAGATATGTTTGACGCAAAAACAAAAACTGCACATCACCAAAAGAACACCATACCCACAGTGAAGCATGGTGGTGGCAGCATGATGCTTTGGGGCTGTTTTTCTTGAGCTGGAACTGGGGCCTTAGTCAAGGTAGAGGGAATTATGAACAGTTCCAAATACCAGTCAATATTGGCACAAAACCTTCAGGCTTCTGCTAGAAAGCTGAACATGAAGAGGAACTTCATCTCCCAGCATGACAACCACCCAAAGCATACATCCAAATCAACAAAGGAACGGCTTCATCAGAGGAAGATGGAAGTTTTGGAATGGCCCAGCCAGAGCCCAGACCTGAATCCGATGGAAAATCTGTGGGGGGATCTGAAGAGGGCTGTGCACAGGAGATGTCAGGATGTGCCATGCTGATAGACTCCTCCCCAAAAAGACTGAGTGCTGGAATCACATCAAAAGGGGCTTCAACAAAGGATTAGTTTAAGGGTGTGCACACTTATGCAACCATATTATTATGGTTATTATAGTTTTTTATTTTTACTCCCCCCCCCCCCCCCCCCTCTAAAAGATTTCAGTTTGTTTTTCAATTGAGTTGTACAGTTTATAGGTTACATAAAGGTGGAAAAAGTTCTGAAATTATTTATCTTTGTTTTATTTTTTACATCGTAGAAACCTGACATTTTAACAGGGGTGTGTAGACTTTTTATATCCACTGTATATTCTGTGTATCTAAGAAAGAATCGGGCCTTTTTTAAAGAAATCCACGGAGCTGGCCAGAGCCAACTCTTGAGGGAGTCTATTCCACATTCTCACAGCTCTCACTGTGAAGAAACCTTTCCGTGTTTGGAGATTAAATTTCTTTTCCTCCAGACGTAAAGAGTGCCCCCTTGTCCTCCGTGATGACCTCAGGGGGAATAACTCTACACCGAGTTCACTATATGAACCACTGATGTATTTATACATGGAGATCATATCCCCCCTTATGTATTATACATGGAGATCGTATCCCCCCTTATGTATTATACATGGAGATCATATCCCCCCTTATGTATTATACATGGTGATCATATCCCCCTTATGTATTATACATGGAGATCATATCCCCCCTTATGTATTATACATGGTGATCCTATCCCCCCTTATGTATTATACATGGAGATCATATCCCCCCTTATGTATTATACATGGAGATCATATCCCCCCTTATGTATTATACATGGAGATCATATCCCCCCTTATGTATTATACATGGAGATCATATCCCCCCTTATGTATTATACATGGTGATCATATCCCCCCTTATGTATTATACATGGAGATCATATCCCACCCCCTTATGTATTATACATGGTGATCATATCCCCCCTTATGTATTATACATGGAGATCATATCCCCCCTTATGTATTATACATGGTGATCATATCCCCCCTTATGTATTATACATGGAGATCATATCCCACCCCCTTATGTATTATACATGGTGATCATATCCCCCCCCTTATGTATTATATATGGAGATCATATCCCCCCCCCCCCCCCTTATGTATTATACATGGAGATCATATCCCCCCTTATGTATTATACATAGAGATCATATCCCCCTTATATATTATACATGGTGATCATATCCCCCCTTATGTATTATACATGGTGATCATATCCCCCTTATGTATTATACATGGAGATCATATCCCCCTTATGTATTATACATGGTGATCATATCCCCCCTTATGTATTATACATGGAGATCATATCCCCCCTTATGTATTATACATGGAGATCATATCCCCCCTTATGTATTATACATGGAGATCACATCCCCCCCCCCTTATGTATTATACATGGAGATCATATCCCACCCCCTTATGTATTATACATGGTGATCATATCCCCCCCTTATGTATTATATATGGAGATCATATCCCCCCCCTTATGTATTATACATGGAGATCATATCCCCCCTTATGTATTATACATGGAGATCATATCCCCCCTTATGTATTATACATGGTGATCATATCCCCCTTATGTATTATACATGGAGATCATATCCCCCCTTATGTAATATACATGGAGATCATATCCCCCCTTATGTAATATACATGGAGATCATATCCCCCCTTATGTAATATACATGGAGATCATATCCCCCCTTATGTATTATACATGGAGATCATATCCCCCCTTATGTATTATACATGGAGATCATATCCCCCCTTATGTATTATACATGGAGATCATACCCCCCTTATGTATTATACATGGAGATCATATCCCCCCTTATGTATTATACATGGAGATCATATCCCCCCTTATGTATTATACATGAGAGAATAAATTCATTTCCTCTAATCTTTCCTCATAGCTGAGCTCCTCCATGCCTCTTATCAGATTGCTTGCCCTTCTCTGAACTTTCTCCAGTTCCCCAAAATTCTTTTTGTGAATTGGTGTCCAAAATGTGCCCACCACATCTTTCAAAATCCAGCACATGCTCAGATATGCCACTGGTCTCTGCCATTTATTTTAGGAGCTGGCAGATTTCGATAGAAATCTGCTGCTTGTACGCACCAGTGCCCCCATTTGAGCTTAACACTATAGCTGTCCACAGTACTTGTGCATGAGCGCAAACATCCACCATGTGTCTGTTCTGTGCATACACCTTTAGTAACTTACTGCCTCCTGGGATAGCTACACACACCTATACCAGGAGGCAGCGGGGCCCGACCTAGGCTGGAAAGCAGGAAGTGCTTCTTTGCAGCACAAAAAATCAATAAAAAGGTAACTTTTTTGTTTACATTTCTGTAAGGGGGGGTGGGGGAGACAAATAAAAATTAAGATTTCCTTGCATTTCATGGCATTGCTTCTCTTCTGAGGCTGCTGTGAGCTTCACTGTGTATGAATAGCAGTTAGAGTCTGGTCAGGGAGCTTCCTTTAAGGTGGACATAGATGATCTTGTTGCCTGAAGCAGCCAATTAGCTTCTCCTGTTTTGCTCTGAGGAGGATAAAAGGGAGAAGCTAATTACTGCTGAGGACAAAAAATGTCCTTCAAGTTCCTTATTCTATAATGGGAGGGAGAGGAAGCTATCTGGCGCTCCCAATTCTGTGATGTATATATACTCCTTGACCCCCAGCAGCTGTTGTTACTCCGGTCTCTGGTTGGAGGGTCATGCTCCTACAGTCCAGTCCAGTTTGGAATGAATGCACTGAGTGGCTGTACAATCAGGTAATGCCTCTGGTTTTGTTTACTCCGTGGGAAATTAGTGGGCGTATTTGCTGTATCTCCTAAAACTCTACCCCTCTTTTGTTTAGTGGTACAGCCCAGGATTCTTGCAGTACTTTCCAGGCTCGAGCATACCAAATTCTGCTAGGGGGGAACGCACCTCAAAGTCTGGCCGTATATGGCAACATCACAACTGCACAGAGCGTGTACTGGACCCAAATCATCTATCAGAACTGCAGCAGTCAGGTAATCTCTGGACCGTCGTTAGGTGCTCTGTGTCACCCGTCATCAAAGGCATACTCCACCTTTTGCAACAAATCTATTCTAATAGTTCTACATAACGCAGCAACATACACACATGTAGGACACCCAACATTAGAGGGGATTTATTCTTCCAAAGCAATACACTTTTGCTCGCTGGTACTGACTAGTATTCCCATGTTTTATCTTCTCCATCACTGAGCTAATGTGACCCCAGCACTGATGGAGAGGGGCGGGGGAGGGTCAAGCTAGGATGCTGTGCAGGCAGGTGGGTCCTCCTTATCAACTGATGATGTAATTGGTTGTCAGGAAGGTCGTAATGGTGCACAATGAAACCTGTGAATTTGTGTAATTAAAAGGCAGACTTGTTCCACCCGCTGGCTTATACATGGAGATCATATCCCCCCTTATGTATTATACATGGAGATCATATCCCCCTTATGTATTATACATGGAGATCGTATCCCCCCCTTATGTATTATACATGGAGATCGTATCCCCCCTTATGTATTATACATGGAGATCGTATCCCCCCTTATGTATTATACATGGAGATCGTATCCCCCCTTATGTATTGTACATGGAGATCGTATCCCCCCTTATGTATTGTACATGGAGATCGTATCCCCCCTTATGTATTATACATGGAGATCATATCCCCCTTATGTATTATACATGGAGATCATATCCCCCCCTTATGTAATATACATGGAGATCGTATCCCCCCTTATGTATTATACATGGAGATCATATCCCCCTTATGTATTATACATGGAGATCGTATCCCCCCCTTATGTATTATACATGGAGATCGTATCCCCCCTTATGTATTATACATGGAGATCGTATCCCCCCTTATGTATTATACATGGAGATCGTATCCCCCCCCTTATGTATTATACATGGTGATCGTATCCCCCCTTATGTATTATACATGGTGATCGTATCCCTCCTTATGTATTATACATGGAGATCATATCCCCCCTTATGTATTATACATGGAGATCGTATCCCCCTTATGTATTATACATGGAGATCATACCCCCCCTTATGTATTATACATGGTGATCATATCCCCCCTTATGTATTATACATGGTGATCATATCCCCCCTTATGTATTATACATGGTGATCATATCCCCCCTTATGTATTATACATGGGGATCATATCCCCCTTATGTATTATACATGGAGATCATATCCCCCCTTATGTATTATACATGGAGATCATATCCCCCCTTATGTATTATACTCGGAGATCGTATCCCCCTTATGTTTTATACATGGAGATCGTATCCCCCCTTATGTATTATACGTGGTGATCGTATCCCCGCTTATGTATTATACATGGAGATCGTATCCCCCCTTATGTATTATACGTGGAGATCACATCCCCCCTTATGTATTATACGTGGAGATCACATCCCCCCTTATGTATTATACGTGGAGATCACATCCCCCCTTATGTATTATACATGGAGATCACATCCCCCCTTATGTATTATACATGGTGATAGAAAGGGGCGGGGGAGGGTCAAACTAGGATGCTGTGCAGGCAGCTGACATTCTCCCTATCAATTGATGATGTAATTGGTTGTCAGGATGCCGGCGGCTAGAAGGTCGTAACGGTGCACATTGAAAACCTGTGACTTTGTGTACCTAAAAGGCAGACTTGATCCACCTGCTGGCTTGTATGCAAATTTTGGGTAATTTTTAGACATTTTGCCAAGGCACCCCTGAAGAAGCCTCAAGGCACCCTGGTTGAGAATGGCTGCTCTAAAGTATGCTTGTCCTTCGCTGTAACTAAAGTAAAAGTCCTTTCTTAGAACAAGCGCGCAGTTTGCCTTTACCTATATTAGCAAAAAAAAAATCTTCTTCTGTAACCCCTCCCTAATTTGTTTTTGTTTAGCTTTGTTACTATAGTCTGACTTCATGGCCTTACCCTCTGCCATTCCACCATCCAGTGAGCCTCTCTAGCCAATAAGTAGACAAATGGGACTGACTGAGAATGCTGCAGGATCTTAAACTGGCCAACAGAGTGATTACTCCATTGAGGTGGATGGAGGAATCCTCCTCTCGTAGACATATTCTGACACTGGGGACTCTCTTTTGTCAGAACACGCTGACCAGTGGCTGCAGCTGCTGATTGAGAAAACATTTTTCAACATTCCCATCTGATGGAAGACGATCATTAGATCGTAAGCTCCCAGGATCAGGGCCCTCCTTAACCCTCTTGTATTTAACTGTATTGTTGCTGTATTGTCTCCCTTTATTTTGTAAAGCGCTGAGCAAATTGTTGGCACTATATAAATCCTGTATAAAAAATAATAATTAGATCGACTTCTGTCGAGCAGAAGCAGCCAAACATGGATTGAAGTTTGTCCGGTTCTCATTGAACTGGATGAATTTCGATCCATCTATGGCCAGCTTTAGTGTGTGCAGTCTTATTGCTTTGATGAATTGAACAGCAAAATATTTCATAGGTAGCTAAACCTTATGGAGGATCTTGGGGTGCACAGGAAAGTCCCAAAAATAGGGAAGTAAGGGGTTATTTTTTATTTTTTTTTTTTTTGAGTATCCAACATGTTTCAGGGGTTACCAAATCCCCCTTCCTCAGGGCTATCAAGTATTAAAACATAAACAGATGTACTTTGAAGTCACAGTTCGGCCAGTAAGGACACTGTTATGGGACAGGGTAGCAGAGCTTAGCTATGGGACAGGGGAATACGCACAGAGCTTAGCTATGAAATACTGACATTCCTTTGTGTCCCCATTTTGCCAACCTGCGTTGCCAAAAAAGTCTCATTGACGGGACTTTTATTAAAAAAAAAGAGGAAGAGATATAAGATTTTACACCCCCTTGTGTCTTCTGGTCCTATTAATGATTGTGATTCTCTGGTCACTCTTTCACAGGGCACCTGCTCCTCTGGCTGCCTCATTCCAGTCCTTCTGGACATGCAGATCATGTGGGCACAGGTTGGGCTCATCTCTAATCCTCAGGCTCAGCTGCTGGGTGCCCGCTTCCTCTACACATGTCAGTCTGTCAAGGTGAGTGTGACAAACATATCACTGGAAAGTTAACATGACCCCTCTTAAAGAGAAACATGACTTTTGTTTAAATGAACAGTCAGCAGCTGCAAATACTGTAGCATCTGACTTTTAAAAATAAGGTACTTATCAGTGTCTGAGGGTCCAGCGCTGTCTTCCCACAGACGGTTCTTCTTTCCGCTGCGAGTGCCCAGCACCTCCGTTTTGGATGTGGAAGCTGACTGTGAGTTCACAGCCTGCTCCCCACTGTGCTGCGTGAGATTACACGGTGCTGCTGCTGGACTGGTCGTACAGTCTCTTGGGACGTATGACGTGTCTCATGAGGCTGCAGGTGGGGGAGCATGCATAAGTGCACATTATTGTTGGTGGTCATACAACCAAATTTTTTCTGCACATGTGATCACCCTCTAATGTCCTGGTTTATATTTAGAACGGCATTACCTTTCTGCTTTATGGTGGTTTGGTAATAATTGAAGTAGATGGTTACTGACCTCAATGTGAAATAATGCTGTGATGGGGGGAGCTGTTATCAGACCTATAGAAATAGGAGCACATTTTAGCTATCGCAGTGTTCTTTGATATTGAGGTCAATAACCATTGATTTCTAATGCAAATAATCCACTCTAGATTTCTTACCTCCGATGCACCATCAGAAAGGTACCAACTGCAAACAGTCTTATGACCACCTGAAGACTGCGAACTTCAGAGTCCGAAATAAGTTTATTAAAGTTACCCAGTACAAGATAAATCCACCCGCACTCTTTGATGCGTTTCACTCTAAAAACACCCTTTCCACCCTGCAATCCTCACTAACACCTAAGAGGAGCAGGTGGAATTATCTTGTACTGGGTAAAACCCACTTATGGGCACACAGCATCTCCATGAATAAGAAAAGTGCCAACACATTTCTGCCTGCACAGCTTTAGAGCTGTGATTAAGGCCCTTTAGCCTGAAATGCATTAGCAGTTGTTACCTAAAGTGGTTGTAAACGCTTTCATTGATCCAGTGAAGTGACTGGCCTCAGGCGATACACAGAGATGAAACACATCCTCCTACATAAGTTGTACCTGTCTGTCTGCAGTATTTTTTTCTCTACAGATGTAAAAAGTGCCTACTTTTAAACCTTGTCTGCGAGTTAAGAAAAAAAGGGGCGGAGAGTTGCAGTTACACTCTGTAGAGCTCAGTGAAAGCTGATTGGAGGGAAGGGACACATCTCTTCACACAGGGACAGAGCTGAGGCTGTCAATCTGCTAGAGGTCCCTCCCATCACCATTTTTCTCTTGGGTGTCAGGAAATCTTGTCAGAAGTGACTCATGCTGATAGCAAATGAAGGAAGCAGAAGACAGAAATTATACTTGGTGCTTTTAATTGAGACTCGTACACACTAAAGAGGGATATACTTTGTTCATATTTCATGGCTGACGTTTACAACCACTTTAAGCCCGGGTTCACACTGATGCGGTGTGGAATTCGCAGTGTTTTCTGTGCGAATTCTGCACCGCATCACAATCGCACACCGTTCATGTGAACCGCTGCTGGTGTGTATGTTAAGTTAACAACACCCCGAAAGCGGTCAGCAAAATGCGGGGCGATGTGCAGATTTGGATCGCACAGGTGTGAATACCCATGCGATCCGATTCTAGTGCAGACCAAAAAAAAGATCCTGCACCTTTTTGGTGCGGTGCGATTAGAGCCATACAAAATGTATGGCTCCAATTGCACCGCACATAAATCACATGTAATTTCTACAGGAAAGTGGTGAGGTTCTTGTGCAAATCACATGAGATATGCCGCACTGCATATGTGAACCCCGGGTTACGCAGAACTAAACGCATCAATTTAATGGTTTCCTGTAAATGATAACTGTCAAGATGTCAAATGATTGGTGTCATAACAGATCACATGTTCAGCACCATGCCACTGCAGATCAAACAGAGGCTCGGATGGCAGCTTCCTTGGCTGTAAAGCATAGGAGGGTTTAGTTCCACTTGAACATCATAAAGTACTATTGGAGAAGATGCTGTGTGCTGGTCATTGGTTTTACATATCACTGCAATGGGGAGAAGATGCATTGGGAGGATGAAGAGTGGGGCAAAATAGGCGGTTGAGTGGTGTGTGTCCAGCTTTGTGGCTGTGGAATGCCATCCTGGTTCTAGGAAGCAAAGACTAGTCATTTGTTTTTGGGATGCAAAGGATTCAGATGTGTTTATACAGCACCAACATTAAACTCACATCTCAGACAGGACTGTGCTCTTTACTTGCTCTTTGACATTTCTTCTTCCGCTTTGTTCCTTAGTGTCAGGACGCGACAGTTCTGCAGACTCAAGTCTCCTTCACGGATCTCACCAGACGCGGTCCCGCCCCTCGATCCGGCCCTGGTATTACTGATAGGGATCCAGTGGATTTCTTCTTCCCGTTTCAGATGAACACAGCTGTGACAAATGCCAGGTCTCTCCTCCTGTATTTTGCAGTATATTGCTGGCAGATAATACAGTTGCTGAGAAGTGTATGACCACCAACAATTTGATCCGTGTTGGCGCAGGTATAACAGATTGCCCCATACACCGACCCTTCCAGACAGCGAAGGCCTGCCTGCCTGCATGATAAATTCTTGTGTGAAACCTGTGGCAGGGCAGCAAACTTGAATCTATGGAGATCACAAATGACACGTACTCCAGGAGACGCAGCTTCTACTTTTAGATTTCTCACAAAAAGTATAGAAGGGCAACTCTTGCCAAATTTGGCTGAAAGGCAGAAGTTGATATTTGTTGTGCGCCTGAAAACCAGTGCTTACCACAGCAGGGTATCAAGAATACTGCCTATCAGTAGTATTAGGACCCATTCAGGCTATGCTCCAAGACACTATCACTTTGCCCATGCAGATCATGGTGACAATGGCTCTGCAAGAGGCATCACCCCGATATTTATCTTAGGTGTAGCGCAGTGGTCCTTGGTAGCCGGTCAGCATTGCTGGGTATATGGGGGAGAGGGGGAATGTGTAAGTGTTCAGATCGAACTACCAAGCAATAGGCCTAAAGTACTGTCAGATGAGCAGGGGCCGACTGACAACTCATGGGGCCCCTGGGCAATAGGGGATCATGGGGCTCCTGAGTCCTTGTCCTCACTCAAACCACACCCAAAAAGGTACCAAGGGCATCTCATGAGGCCCCCTCCTGACCCCAAGCCCTCGGTCAATGCTAGAGTGCCCAAATGGTCAGTCTGCTCCTGCAGGGAAGTAGCATCACTGCCTCCTCTATCACCAACACAGGCAATTTCAGCACCATCCTCGGGAGAAAGGAAGGAGATGCAACATTACACAGCTCGAGGAAGGGGGGGGGCAACACAGATTAATTTTCCAAAGACCATGTCTCTTTAAGGACTTGTTCAAACCACATTGGAACATGCAGTAGAATAAGCATTACTGCCGTGGGTGAGAAGTTTTCTATGGATCCTGTTCCTACTATATATGACGTGGGAGATGGTATACAAAAAGAAATCCATTGGGGTTGATTTACTAAAGGCAAACAGACTGTGCACTTTGCAAAGGGTAGTTGCCCTCTGCAAGAGCAGTTTCTCCAGAGCTTAGTAAATGAGCAGATGCTTTGTTGACTTCCCTCATGCAAGCAAAAATGCTGTTTTTTTTTAATTTTCCTTACATGTGATTGGGTATTCTTTGCAAAGTGAAGCTTTACATCATTTAGGGAGCTCTGGAGCGACTGTACTTGCAGAGTGCAATGTCTATTCGCCTTTAGTAAATCAACCCCCATAGTATTTACTAAAACTGGGGAGTGCAAAATCTGGTGCAGCGCTGCATAGAAACCAATCCGCTTCCAGGCTTCATTGTCAATGCTTAATAATTGAACAAGTTGAAGTTACAAGCACAGATGCATCAGATTTTGCACTCTCCAGTTTTAGTAAATCAACCCCAATGTGTTACCAAGCACAAAGGGTTAAGTCATCCACCTGAACTAGAAACAGTCAGCAGGGGCTGTGTACATGGGGCAGCATTTTTAACAGCGCAGTGTGTGATGGGCATCAGCACCTGGCAAACTCATCCATTGAGTTCAATGGGAACACAATTGCAGCAATATAGGGATCAATCAGGCAGTGAAGGTGGCTCTCAAATTCCCTCTGAATAGCAGTCTAAACACTGATCACTGCTCAGAGTCCACCACAAATGTGAAAGAGCCCTAAGGTGGCCCATTCATGTTGAAGGAACTGGCACCACATGGCAACATACAAACAGTCCTGATTTCTATGTGCAGACAGCCTGTGTAATGTGCATGCCATTCAAAATGTATGTAGTGCTGCTCAATTTCAAGCACATTTTAACATGATGGGGCCCTTCCTTGGGTAGTTTACCAACACTGATAACCCTTGTATTTGCAGTCCCATCAGTTGAGCTGAGCCAATAGTCATACATCTGGAACAATTATGCAACTAGTAATGTCAGGACCGGCGAGCGAGCAAGCGGTGTACTTGCACTCAACCTACAAAGAGCAACAGATCAGGACAATTGCAGTTGGCATTTTCAGCTGCATTTCCAATGGCAACCATCTTATGGCATGAGGTTTTTAAATGGGGACAAACTAGTGGCTGCACAGTGAACAAGATTTATCATAAATCTGGCCAAACAGGATCAACTTTTTTTTTTTTTTTTTTAAATGGAGTATTTACTGAATTATTTTGTATAAATAAACTATTTTTATACCTTATTCACAGGTGTTATTTGTCAAACACATTCTTGACTTCTGCACTGAAATCACAGCTTAATTATTGGCACAAACTTGTCTCCAGATGTGTGTGTTCAACAACAACACGGCTCATTTATACTTGCTTCCACTTTCACACACATTAAAGCACCTACTGCTTCATCCTTTGATACTTTACTGATGCTCCTTTTTTTGCCATTTGTGTTGATTTTCAATTTGTTTTAAAAGGGGCCCAGTAGTACCCCCCCCCCCTCTGCTAATGCCCCACACAATAATAACCCCCTCCAGCTCTGCTGATCCTCTTCTCTCTGGTCCCCATTCACCTCACTTTGCACAACACCTGTGATATCACTAGTTTCTCCTGCTCCTGTCATCCAGCTCTTCTGATCCTCTGCCGCTCAGTTTTCTCTCCAGTACACGCTCACCTTCCACTACAGCATTCCCAGGAGATGACATTGGGTCAGGGGCGGACTGACAACTCATGGGGCCCCCGGGCAATAGGGGATCATGGGGCCCCTGTGTTCTTGCCCGAACTCAAAAAAGTCTATGAAAAAGGTACCAGGGGCATCTCATGGGGCCCCCCTACTGACCCTGGGCCCTTGGGCAGTGCCCGAGTTTCAAAATGATCAGTCCGCCCCTGCATTGGGTATACATTTCACAGCAAACACATGTAAACAGGACTGTAAGGCCATATATTATACAATATTCTTGTACAGTTTTCCTTTGACTTTCCAAAACCATACAATAGGTCATTATAGGACTTTCAATGTACATGCAATCAGGCAGGCCCTTGCACTACATAATTGAAGGTAAATGTAAAGGAAATTGGCAATAAAGTATACATATTTCTTATTCAGTCCAAGCTTACCATTCAGTGATTTGATTGGCAGAATGCTCTTTATAATAATAATTTAAAAAAAAAAACCCTCTGTAATACCACATTTTGAACGAGCCCTTAAGAGTTGTACATTTGTGCTCTTGGGCTTTTAGATATGGGGGGGGGGTGTGTGTGTGGTGTGTGTGGGGTGTGTGGGGTGTGGTGTGTGTGGTGTGTGGGTGTTTTTTTTTTTTTTTAATTTAAATACAGGCTTTTCTCCCCTCTTCCATTTTACCTGGTGAGCCTGCCAGTAACACTTAAGGGGTTATTGAATAAAAACTGGGAGCATGAAAATTCTGGTGCAGCTCTGCATAGAAACCAATCAGCTTCCAGGTTTTATTGTTAAAACATAACAGAGCAAGCTGAAGTAAAAAGCTGATTGGCTGCCACGGACAGCTGTGGCAGGATTGAGTGCTCCAGTTTCTGTAAATCTACCCCCATACAGGCCTAGGGTGCTAATGCATGCAAAACATTTCAAGTACATCTTTAAGAAACAATCTTTTACAGCTCATTCACAAGTGCTTGGATTGCTCTTTAGAGATATCCGACAGGCAGTGAGGTGGGCACTGTATTACCACCTCACTGCATGTTGTAACCCTTTGATTGCCACACTAGCCCCCCCACAACCAAGTGCATTGGATGCAGCTGTGGGGTGCTAGCAAAGCACCACATTTACGCAATTGGGTCGCATTTGTTGAGCATTGCGCACAGAGACAGAGTGGTATAAATTCCTGCCATGGCCATGAAGCAAAACATCTCAAATATGGCATGTGTAGAGCCCCAGCTGCTGCCTCTGAATGAGCTCTAAAGAATAAGGGGATCTGTCCTCTGATATAACAGATCCCACCATCCCCAGATCTCACCCTCCCCTTCAATTCAGTGGCCACTGTTTTGAGCTTTACATCCATTGCCACAGGTTTCCACTGTCCTGGCTGTGCCTTACAGCCTCCTGTAAAGCCAAAGGAGTGTGTCTCAGGGGCAGAGATGAATGGAGACTAGCCCATAGAAGACTAAGGGGCTGACTAAGGTAGAGCTAGGACAGTGAAGACTGGAGGAGCTGGATGTAAGCTGCACAACCATCTGATTGATATTAGTGTGCATCTATTGAAAGAGATGGTGGAAATAAAGGACAAGTGCACTTTTGTTTACAGTGAATATATCCTTCAAATGTTGTTTGGTCAGTCACTTGACCCCATAGTTACAGATAAGAAGCACAAGGTATGTTGAGAGCTTACACAGGGTTTTTTATGTTCCCTCCCAGTTGCCAGTCGTAGCATCTAGTGGGTGAGGGAGCGCTAAGACGCATCTACCCTGTGTGCGTTTTGGGGATAGATCATCAGCAATGGGGGTTAGTAGAAGGTCCATGTGGAGGTGGTGTCCAAGTCCATCTGTAGTGGGCAGGCAGCTGTAAGCTTGTGCTAATGCAGGTAGAGAAGAGAAACAGCAGCGCCACTCTAAGTGTAGACTGTTAAAATTGGGCAGATTTAATGGTAAAATTGCATTCACATTAGGTAGGTGGCAGGCATGTCAAGTAATGGAGGTCCAGTGGGAGCATCAGGTCCTTTGGCCACGCACTGGAGCGGCGGGAAACCACCCAGAGCGTGGCCATAGGACCTGATGCTCAAACTGGACCTCCATCACTTGACATGCCTACCTGTTACCTACCTATGTGAGTGAAATTTTTACCATTTAAGTGTAAACGGTTAAAATCAGGTAGATTTAATGGTAAAAATTGCACTCACATAGTTAGGTAACAGGTAGGCATGTCAAGTGATGGAGGTCCAGTGGGAGCATCAGGTCCTTTGGCCACGCTCTGGGTATTTTCCCGCCGCTCCAGTGCGTTGCCAAAGGACCTGATGCTCCCACTGGACCTCCATTACTTGACATGCCTGCCACCTACCTATGTGAGTGCAATTTTACCATTAAATCTGCCCGATTTTAACAGTCTACACTTAGAGTAGCATCTGGTGGGGCCAGCTTTAAAATGACCTGTTGCTTTGTCCTGCAGAGGTTCACCACGTTTAAACTTGCCTAAAACCAGCATTTACATGTCCAAGAATCAGCTTCCGTCCTCTCCCAACCACTTCCCAAAATAAAGACAAGGAGTCCAAATTATTTCTCAACATTCATTTCATTCACAATAAAAATCTCAAAAAGCTACAATTCAGCTTTTTAAGTGGGAAAACGAAAAGACACATTTCCTCCCACCCTCAGTTCTTACAGCAGGCCCACATGGCTTCTTACAGGGATGGGTGACAGCTATGGCAAGGGGGTTCTCAGTGGTGGTTCATGATCCGATCTGCAACAGGAGGCCCTGTGAACCTGAACTGAGAGCTTAATATTTGCCATTTCCATCTATAATAAATTTAGTGCAGACACAAACCCCCTCACTGCATGTCTGCATTGTTGTGGTCCCTCAGCAGAGAAAGGGGTTAATGCCTCACCTCAGTGATCGACATTGCACCTATGTAGCACTGGGAATTGTACAGCAGGCATGTGTAAGGAGATAGGCGCCATACCTCAGAAAGCACTATTTGAAGCAGGTTTAAAAGACAAACACCAATCCCGGTACCTGGGCCTGCACAGCCCATGGTGTGGAGAGGCAGCACAGCCATCCACTGGGATAAACTCGAACACCAAAGCTTACTCAGGGCAGGTTGTTGCAGCATGGAGCTTGGAAGGGTAGGCCATCAGGAGTCCTTGTCATTGAAGGCACTTACCTTCCCGACACAGTCTTTGCAGTTCCTCTACTAAACAGGTGACATTACAGGGCTTTTTTTTTTAAACTATCCATACATAGTTCTTTACATACAAAGTTCACACTTGGTGAAAACTGGTCTGCCAACTAAAAGGTTAAAAAGAAACTAAAAATTCAAGCGGAAAACCAGCAGCAGTGTAGTAGGTAGATCAGGTTTCCAGCATATGTGAAATGTTTGGCGATACAGCAAGGCCACAATCTGTGCAAGGCTCTGCAGCAGTAGTCTGAAGACATCTACAGTGGTTCCACCTAAAGCTCACCCCGCAGCAGTAGTCTGAAGACATCTACAATGGTTCCACCTAAAACTCGCCCTCCAGCAGTAGTCTGAAGACATCTACAGTGGTTCCACCTAAAGCTCACCCCGCAGCAGTAGTCTGAAGACATCTACAATGGTTCCACCTAAAACTCACCCTCCAGCAGTAGTCTGAAGACATCTACAGTGGTTCCACCTAAAGCTCACCCCGCAGCAGTAGTCTGAAGACATCTACAATGGTTCCACCTAAAACTCGCCCTCCAGCAGTAGTCTGAAGACATCTACAGTGGTTCCACCTAAAGCTCACCCCGCAGCAGTAGTCTGAAGACATCGACAATGGTTCCACCTAAAACTCACCCTCCAGCAGTAGTCTGAAGACATCTACAGTGGTTGCACCTAAAGCTCACCCTGCAGCAGTACTCTGAAGACATCTACAGTGGTTCCACCTAAAGCTCACCCAAGTCACCACAATCCTAAAACCCAACTCAAAAAAAAAAAAAAAAAAAAAAAGGAACTTCCATTCTTACTCCTGTTGCATGGTTCACCTGGAACAGGCACATCAGGAGTTCAGACACCTCCATACACACATAAATTCAAGTTACCAAGTACTGAAGTACTGGAGCCAGCATGAGGACCACATGAGAAATCAAGACATACTTCAGACCTAGAAATGGTATCTTGTAGGGCTCGTTCACATTGGCAGTTGAGCTGTATTTTTATCACACCCTCAACATTTGCCTCCTTTAGCTACAGAGGCAATGGGGTGGGGGTTGTAGCTACACATGCGGCAAAATGTAACACATTGCTTTCAACGGGTATAGCACTTTCCAAGTACAACCTATTCAAGTGAATGGGGCTTGCTCTGCAACTGCGGGGATCAAGGGGTAGCGAGGAGAAGTTACACCACCACCTCACCACTTGTCAAATGCTTTGAAGATGAATCCAAAAAGTAGATCACTCTTTAAAAACCAAAGCAAGTGTGTGAACAAGCTCTTGAGTTTATCAGTCAGTCATTCACAGTGGAGGTGTAGAGACTATATCCCCTGTGAGAAAGTAAAAACATTAAAAAACACTTTTGGGAGCTTGCTAGCACAAAACAAGCGTTTCACACCTTTCCATACCAACCTGAGAACAAACAAAGTGCAATGCTCTTCCTTATGCCCTAATCAATGTGATTATAGCGGAGTCGCTTTCGAATAAATATTCCCCTCCGTGTGAATTAGTACAATCAGTAATTAAATAAAAATCAGAAATAGAATTTATATATATTGTGACTTTTCTGTAATACCACTCTGTAATTATAGATTGTAACAATTCACATGTAGGGGGATATTTGTTCATGAGCTACAATCACATTGATTAGGGCATAAGGAAGATAGAGAGGCGAGCACTGCATGGTTTTTCAATCTGTTTGTTCACACAGTAGAGGTGGTCATTGTGGTCCAGCCAGTTCAAAGATCCAGCCCATCAATTTCCTGTAACATAGTACCCTCCACAGCTGAGAGATATACATTTTTTTTTTTCCAATCCCCCAAAACTGTTGAGGGGCAGCACTCTCTCGATAGATCGCACCTACTTCTATGACCAGTGCCTGAGGTTTTTATCAAAATACAAGTGTCACAAATCTTTACATTTTACTGTCCTACAGTCACCTGAGCGGAATAAGATTTCAGCACCTGAAGTGGTTTTGCCTTTTTTTTTTCTTTAAAGACAGAAAAAAGTAGTGAGATCCCAGAGAAATAGACATCATTGACAGGCTGAAGCCGCCATCTTTAAGGCTATAAAATGTCCTTACATGGAGGGGCAATGACCAAAGGGATTAACAAAAATGGCCCTACAGCAGTTTATTGTAACAAAATTTCAGCAGACTGCATAGTTTGGTATTCAGAACTCCAAAAAAGTAAAATGACCTGAAAAATTTAGACATTTCAATACTGAAAATGCTTCAGCCATCACAGCCCCGCTCTCACCTGCCCCAAACATGGCAGCTGTGCACTGCTCCTGCATTGCATCTCATAGCCAAAGAGGGTTTAAAAAAAAATTATAATTTAGACCAGTGGTCAAAGTAAACAGGCTCTCACAGTGAGGAGCCCAAGTCCCAGAATGCCCTGCAGCAAAAGCAATTGATGGCGATTGCAGAGGATGCTACACCTATACCAGAGACAATAAAAAGAAAGCATTTCACATGACGGATACACCGAGTACCCTGCGTTTTGTGTCAGAGAGGTCTACATAGCATTGCTAATTATCACAAACTGAGAAGGGGAATCACACCAGCCGGCACCCACAGACATAAAGGGCTTGGTTGTTGTTCTTGCCGTTATGTACAGATCCATGCATAACCCTGAGATCACTGGAGCACAGTCACTTTGCTGCTGTAAGGCACCACCGTGAGATTCTATCTGCACCTCACTCAGCGGCTTAGGAGTTTGGACCCCATGAAGCTTCCCACATTAAAAAGGATTAAGGCAGAGAAGTGGCTCCTGTTGCAGGGGCTCTCAAGTCTCTTCCTCCTTCTGTCAGTGTGAGGTAATGTGAAGGTTCAGATCCCCCTCAGTATATTATAGGAGGGGGGTGGGGGGGAGGAGAGGTCAGGAATCCGAGAGGGAAGTCTGTGTCCGTGTGTCAGGATTAGGGAAGAGACGGAGGGGGATATTGGGGTCAATTCTTCTGCTTGTTCTTTGAGTTTCGAGGTGGAGTAACTGGGCGGGACTGGTTCACACCTCCATAGGCAAACAGTTTCTTGTCAGCAGGCTTTAGGATCTACAGGAGAAAAAAAAAAAAAAAGTCAGATAACCAATTTATAACAAAAGGACTGCAATAAATGTCCTGTACAAAGCTGTCACAAAACCAATTTTCCCTCGAGAACTTCTCTCATGCCTTTTTTCTTTCTTTCTTTTTGATCATGCAGAGAGCACAGTGGCTAAATGGTTAGCACTTCCACCTGGCAGTACAAGGGTCATTGGTTCAAATCCCAACCACGGCACCACCTGCCTGGAGTTTGCATGTTCTCCCTGTGCATGTGTGGGTTTCCTCCCACACTCCAAAAGACAAGCTGGTAGGTAATTGCATCCTCTCTAAACTGGCCCTAGTATGTGTATGTATTAACGCAAGTTAGGGACCTTAGATTGTACGCCCCTTGAGGGTTAGGGATCGATGTGAATGTACAATATATAGCGCTGCGTAAAACTGACAGCGCAATACAAGTAACTGAAATAAATAAAATAACCCCTACCTGGCCAACTTCAAAGACATGCTGGTGGTTTAAACTGGTCCTAGTAGGTTTACGTATGCAATGCATACATGTGAAGTAGGGACATTAGACTGCAAGCTGCTTGAGGGCAGGGACTGATGTGAATGTGCATCAATTTTAAAAAAAAAAAAAAAAGTATTTTTTCCCCCCATTTTTTAAAATGACAAGAACGTCACTCTTTCCTGCTCTGCAGTAGGTTTGCACAGAGTAGCCCCGATACTCTTCTTCTTGGGTCCCCCAGTGGCACTCCTGGCTCCTCCCCCTTGTCCAGTGCCCCCCCATACCAAGCTGCTTGCTATGGGGGCACTGGTGCATGCTTGCTCCTAGCCCCGCTCTATGCATACATAAGACAGAGCCACGGCACAGACCTGCCTCCTGCTCTCTCCCTTATTGGCTCACTGGCTGTGATTGACAGCAGTGGGACTCAATGGCTCCTGCTGTTGTGTTTCAGCCAATGAGGAGAGGTAGACATGCCGAGGCTCCCGTGCATAACAATGGATCGAGAGAGAGAGCTCACGAGATTATTGGGTAAGCTATTTGGGGGGGGTAATCGCAATACCCAGCAGACATAGAATACATGGAGAAAAAAAAAAAACCACACACAACAAACACACACCTTCAGCATTAAATCACTTTAGTTCACCAAAATCCCCGTGACGTAGCACTATGGAGGGGGTCACGCAGTCAGTCATTCACACTAGAGTGTTCTGACATGTTCTAACTTGCACTCACCTTGGTCGCAGATGGGTTGATTCAGTCTTTACAGAGTAGTAGAAAAAAACAAAAAAACAAAAAGCCACACAAAACCACCACAAGTGTGCGCTGTTGGTGTAAAATGAGTGACAGGAATTTGGAGAAGCGGATTAACATCAAATTTTGAATGAAAATTGGCAAAAATGGCCACAATAACGCAAGATGTCGGCAGCCATAAAACGCAAGACGGATGCAAATGTGGAAAGAGTGCGACCCCTCGTACGCTCAGACTGAAGACTTAGTGTGTGAATGATGGCAGAATTGAATATGAACAGGGAGACAGTGCAGCAGACAAAAAAAAACTGAGGATTTGGGGATGAGAAAGAATTTCTGCAAAGATGGTGCCTCGAATCTGGACAGAAGATCAGAAAGAACATCCTCTTCAAATGTCATATGATCTTTTGAAGAACACAGGTGTGTTTGACAGTTACCAGTCCATTCTGGGAATTAAAATGGTCACACCTAGTATGTGAAAGTGCTGCATAAAAACCAGTCAGTGCTATAAAAACTGCCTGTAACGAGCCAATGAATATTTCAACATGGGACATCCCTGCCAATTATCTTATAACCTTCCACCAACAAAACCCATGCCTAGTACAGTGTGACAGATTTTTTTGGTTGTTCTATTAGTGAATCTAGGTTTACACTATGAACCACATGCGCATTGCTCAGGAATGGCACCACATTTCAGTGCGATTCAGCATGGTGCGATTTGAGGCCATTCATTTTGAACACGCTCAAAATCATACCAAAGAAGCGCAGGCACTTTTTTTTGGAGCAGCACCACATAGTCACTGCATGGTCGTTTTGTACCATGGGATCCCGTGCAGGCATACCACAATACAACTGCAATGCATTCAGGGCAGGGGTGTCAAACTGGCGGCCCTCCAGCTGTTGCGAAACTACAAGTCCCATCATGCCTCTGCCTTTGGGAGTCATGCTTGTAACTGAATCTTGGAATGCCTCATGGGACTTGCAGCATGGCAACAGCTGGAGGAGCGCCAGTTTGACACCCGTGATTTGTCGTTAACGTTGTTTTGTCAAAGCGGATTGCAAACAGTGCAATTGCAATGCAGTGGGGGACACACACGGACGGACGGACACACACACACACACACACACACACACACACACACACACACACACACACACACACACACACACCTTTTAAGACCAAGGAGTTGTTTACATTGGATACACATACAGGCCCTGTGTAGACAAGCAAATGCCGCATGCTTTCAGGGGCAGTCAGCGCACCTCTGAACTGCATTGACTTTTACGGAGAAAAGCAGTTTTGTCAAATGCCTGCAACTGAGTTGCATTGGACTGACCTGGAAAGAGCACATTAGTGTTTCATCCACACTCATCATGGAACCAGCGTTGTCAAATTCACCGCAGTAATTTGGTGCAGAGAACAGAGTCACCAGCTGTCGTTTTGCAAAGAACTCATAACCGTCTTCCACCACCTGTAGGGACAGCAGTGTGGGGGGGGGGGGGTAAGTGAGAAATCATACAACATAAATAGGAGGTGCACAGAATACAAAACTACAACCACTTCTTAAAGCTTCTAGAAGCACTCCCTATTCATCCTCTGAAGTGCGACTGGCCACATTGCTAGTCGGGACAGCAGCGTTTCCTGCTCACCTGATGTGCTCGGCAAATGAGATCCAGGTCATGCTTGTGAAGGAATTTTGCTACAACATCAGCCCCAAAAGTGAAGGAGACCCCCCCTGTCATTTTCTCCCCAGCCGAGAACATCCTTGTCTGGATCGGACCATAAAAAGGTCACACAGGAGACCCTGGTCTGGTACGTCTGTGGGACGCAGTATCCTTCGGACTTGTTCCATTGACTGCAGGTCGGGGGAGAGGCCTGGGAGAAGAAAAAAAAAAAAAAAGTAAGAAGGACAGAAGATTAGCAGATGGGTAACAAAACTACACAAAATAAAAAAAAAAAAAAAAAAAAAAAAAAAAAAACACATACACACCCCCCCTAGGTTTGTACAGCCTGCAGGGCACACTAGGGCTGAAGTCCTCAATCCTAACTGAACAACATTAGGCTAAAAGGAATGTGTAAACAATTGCCCAAGAAAGTTTATCCTTTTTTGCATCTCAGCACTGTTTATCTCCTGCACCCTCTTTGCAGCCATTTCCTTTACACATGCACACTAGCAACTGCTGCGCACAATTTCTAAAGGTGGTTTTCCTGATGGGGACAACGGGGAATGCACATGTGTAGCATGCCCTGGAACAGTCACTTCCATAGTCTATCCAGAGAACATGTGATGGACTGACAACACAACATAGGGAGGACAGAGTCGCAGGCTGGAGGCAGAAGAACTTTGTTACTGAACTGCAGTAGAGAATCATGTCAGTCCTGCCAGATACAGCTGTGTACATCGGAGGACGGAATATGAAGAGCAAATCCTTAGCCAGTAAAAACTCCCGATATGTATTCATTCTCTGCATTTACCAGTTTGTCTGGAGTTCAGCTTTGAGATGACATTTTAATGACTGGGTTTACATAGACTTTTAAACCTGGAAACCTTGCGGGCAGCAGATCATATCAGTAGATCAAAGTACAGAATATTCTCCATGCATGCGCAGTGTGTAAGCAATGATGTCAGACCGAAACGGCCGAGTCAGTTAGTCATTTCCCTACATGTAGGATGTAATGTTTGGACTTGTGCTGTCCTGGATATTGTCACGGCTGCATCAAGGTGTGGGAAATAGTTTTTCAGATGCACACTAAAAAGGCAATACATAGTTTCTAGTAATGTCTGAACAGCAGTGACTGCAGACATCAAGAGCCTCGGGGTCTAAGGTGTCATTTCTCTGCTGTAGGGTCTGGCAATGTGCAACAAGAAATAACAGGACTAGGAACACTACTCATTTATATTGTATTTTGGACTAACAATTCTCAGCACAATCCGGATGCTTAGCTGGATTATGTACCCCCTCGTTGCAGGCAGGGGCTACGAGGCACCAAAAATAGGCTAGATGCAAAACAAAAAAAAAAAAAAAAAAAAAACAACACAAACTCTTGGCGCTGTCTACAAAATTCTATGTAATGGTACAGACAGGGAAGAACTGTTGTGGGCCAAGAATGCCTTAAGTGTGTTATACAAAAGAAAGCAATGTCCACAACTTGTGTGAGAAATGATTTTGGAAGGGGGAGGGTGGGGTGGACATTTGGGAAGAACAGGAATATTAATGTAGGATTCAGGTCTAAAACTAAAAAAACTAGTCAAGAAAAAAAAAAAAATTATAATAAAAAAAAAATAATGAAATGTTGTTCCCTCCCCTAACACCTATTGATGCTGGCTAACCTGCATAGAAAGAAAAAAAAAAAAAAAAAAAAAAAAAGGAGGATTTATATATGTACCTATATTCAGTCCGGCCACACAATCTGTCTCAGCTGGCGGTGGCTGCAGGAGAGAGAAGGGAGCGAAGACCATGGCTAGGACATGGGAGCCTACGGGTGACATCACAGCTCCCAGAATGGTATAGGCTGAAAATAGTAAAGCTGGCCATGCACGTCAGTTTTTTGTTCGACCACAGTAGCCACACGTGGAGCAAAATTTAGCTTTTTTTTTTTCTTTTTAAATATACCACACATAGGTTAGCCAGCAGAAGTGTTAAATGGAGGGAGGGGATATTTTGAAAAAGCTTAGGCTGGAATTTTACTTTAGGATGGAAGGTGGTGGGGGGGGGGGGGGGTATGGAAGTATGGAAGTTGGGAGGAAGGACCCCCAACCCTCAAGCTGGGGGTAGGAGGAGTGCAGGAACAAAGTTTGAGGTCAAAGAATATGAATTCCATGATTCCGCCATAACATTAAGACTCCCCAGGTGAGGGGAATCTGAGGCATCGCTCAGGAGAATTAAAAGTAGAGGATTTGCATTTACTCCAGTAGAAGTACGATTTCCTGGAGCTTTCAGATATGTCCATTGGGCAAGAGATTTTACATTTCTAACTACAAGATCCTACCCAAAATATTTTGAAATTAATCCCTTGTTCCTACTTAACCAACTAGAAGATATTTTAAAACTGATGCCGTGTACCTAAAAATGACTTTTAGGCCTCATTTACACCATATGTGCAGAAAAACTGAAGGGGAAAAAAAAAAAGTGCACGTCACTTGCAGAGAAACTCAATTTACATCAGTTTTCATAATTTTTTAATATAGGGAACAATTGTTTTTGTACCCTTGCAGAAAAACTCACATCTCTGCACACTGGTTTGAGCAAGGCCTTACAGTATTTTTGAAAATCTGTTTTTAAAAAATTTTGTTTGCACTGGCTAGTAAACATCCTGGATGCTCTCCTCCCCCCAGTACTAGCCAAAACTATTGTTTTCATTCAAAAAGACCCACTCAGGTACTAGTCAAAACTATTGTTTTCATTCAAAAAGACCCCCCACCCACCAAGAACTGCATTCCATAAGCTACATAACAAGCAACTCACCTCCATGACAGCAGAAGATCTTCTCATCTACTATAGCAGCAACAGGTAAGCAGTTAAAACAATCTGTAAAGGTCTTCCACAACTTGATGTTATACCGTCTTTTACCTAGATAAAAATAAAAAAAAAAATAAAATAAAAAAAAAACTCATTGGAGTCACTGACAGATTAAAAGTCAGACAATAACCGCATAAACTGAGGCTAAACCAAACCCGTGTATATTTACATTTATCTAAAAAAAATAAATCATGTACAGCCAAAAGTTTACAAAAATAGTTCCTAATAAAAATGCAGCCCGATCAAAAAAAAAAGAAAAAAAAAAGGCCCCATGTGTTGGTGCTTTCCACTTACATTCGTCGTAGAATCCATAGATACGGTTGATACTGGCGCACTCATGATTCCCGCGCAACAAGAAGAAATTTTCTGGGTATTTAATCTTGTAAGCCAACAGCAGGCAAATGGTTTCCAGAGACTGCTTGCCACGGTCCACGTAGTCGCCCAAGAACAAGTAGTTACTCTCCGGGGGGAAGCCGCCATATTCGAACAATCTTAAGAGATCGTAATACTGTCCATGTACATCACCTGGGGGAGAAGGAGAACACATCAATTCCTATTCACATAATATGAGTGGACTTCAGGCTTGTATCATAGGAATAAATCGATCCAATTCAGATTAAAAAGATCTGATAGAGATCAGCCATGAATTAGAGCCAATCACATGGAATAGCTCAGGGATGTGCCGTTACCCACAGATGAAGATCAAATTCGCATATAATACAAAAAACGGACTTCCAGAGTTTTATAACTTTAGCATTCCAGCCGCCAACCCCCCCCAACACTCTTTCCTTAGATCAGGGGTGTCAAACTGGCGGCCCTCCAACTGTTGAGAAACTACAAGTCCCATCATGCCTCTGCCTTTGGAAGTCATGCTTGTAACTGTCAATCTCGCAATGCCTCATGGAACTTGTAGTTTGGCAACATCTGGAGGGTCACCCGTTTGACACCCGTGCCTTTGTTGCTTCAGCTTGTATACCATGACTTTACATGCACTGAGGCAGGACAGCCAACCCTAAGAGCAAGGTAGCAAACAATGTCTCAGTCCCAAATTTTAGGAGCCCCCCTTTATTGTAGCCACAATGAAAAAAAATGTATACATTTTTTCTTTATAAAAACCAAACAATTTCTGCCTGCTAGCTCTCAAACCCTACTCTGATCTGTCCACAGACAAGATGAATCCATCCCACCCATGTTAAGATATAGTGGGGTTCATGTCCTAAAGCTGGTCCACCAATCTCGTACACTTTTGCATAGAAACCAATCAGCTTCCAGGTTTTATTGCTAAAGCTTTACTGAACAAGGAGGTTAGAAGCCGATTGGCTCCCATGCACAGCTGCACCAGAGTGCTCTGGTATTCGTAAATAAACCCCAGTGTGTGTGTGGATTCAGGCCCAAGACCCAAAGTACCGATTACTATACAGCACCCAATCCAGCCCAGTTACCCGAGGAAGACGGGAAAACTGATTTGGAGTAACTAACACAGATTTACCTAGTCAGAGTGTTGTACTAGACACAGGCACCAGCACTCACTCAGCCGAGTCCTCCAGCCACATGATGACGGCATTTCTCACTCACCACAGATCTTCAGTGGGGCCTCCAGCTCCAGAAGAATAGGTTGGCTCAGGAAGATCTCACGAGACTTCAGACACAACCCTCTGATCTCATTCTCCGTCAGCTGGACGTTCTTCCCTGGACGACATCCTTTTACTGGAAGACACAGAATTGGTAAAGAGTACATGAATATCCCAGAACATAAATATACTGATACACAGCTTTGATCAACTTATTTCCCCACTTCAAAATCCAAAAGTGTCTGGGGTAACCTTGTGACTGGAAGGCGGACAGACTTTCCTCAATACAATCCACTTTCATCAGCCATCTCACTGCAAGTACATTCCCAAGGACACCTATGCCCCATATTACTAGGCCAACCAATGTACGCAGCGCTCTACATATATATTGTACATTCATTGTACATTCACATCAGTCCCTAACCCTCAAGGGGCGTACAATCTACGGAGGAAACCCACGCAGGCACAGGGAGAACATGCAAACTCCAGGCAGGTGGTGCTGTGGTTGGGATTTGAACCAACAACCTGACAGGTGGAAGTGCTAACCATTTGGTCACGGTGCTGCCTGTATTGTTTCTACCCAATTCACACAGAACAAAACATATATGCAGATTTGCTGCAGGAATGGCTATGAATATTTTATTATACACACACTGGTTACTTTATTAGGTACACCTGTTCAATTGCTTGGCAACACAAATTGTTAATCAGCCAATCACATGGCAGCAAGTGGGTCCTGTGCTCAGTGCCTGGCACCATAGAGCTGGATTGGCATTTGCCATTGAACCCCAGAATTGGCGGGTCCCCCACTGGCACCCTGTGCTTTTCACAGATGAGAGCAGGTTCACCCTGAGCACATGTGACAGACGTGAAAGGGTCTGGAGAAGCCGTGGAGAACATTCTGCTGCTTGTAACATGGTTCAGCTTGACCGTTTTGGTGGTGGGTCAGTGATGGTCTGGAGAGGCCTATCCATGGAGGGGTGGCACAGACCTCTACAAGCTAGACAATGGCACCCTCACTGCCATTAGGTATTGGGATGAATCCTTGGACCCATTGTCAGGCCTACGCTGGTGCAGTGGGTCCTGGGTTCCTCCTGGTGCAGTGGGTCCTGGGTTCCTCCTGGTGCAGTGGGTCCTGGGTTCCTCCTGGTGCAGTGGGTCCTGGGTTCCTCCTGGTGCACGACAATGCCCGGCCTCATGTGGGGAGAGTATGCAGACAGTTCCTGGAGGATGAAGGAATTGATACCATTGAATGGCCCCCCACACTCGCCTGACCTAAATCCAATAGAACAGCTCTAGGATATCATGTTTCGGTCCATCGGACGCCACCAGGTTGCACCTCAGACTGTCCAGGAGCTCAGTGATGCCCTGGTCCAGATCTGCGAGGAAATCCCCCAGGACACCATCCGTCATCTCATTAGGAGCCTCCCCCGACGTTGTCAGGCATGTATAGAAGCACATGGGGGCCATACAAACTACTGAGGACCATTCTGAGTTGCTGCAATGAAATTTCAGCAAAAGGGACTCGCCTGCCGCATCTTTTTACTTTGGATTTTCGGGTGTCTTTGAATGCAGTCCTTTGATGGAAATGAATGATCAACCTACAAACGATGGGGCGTCCTTACATTCCTAACACATTACCCCGTCCATATCAGTACAGAGATCCAGCAGGAGATGTTTTCCCCATTGAGATCTGATGGGTTTTTCAAAGTGTTCCTTTCATTTTTTTGAGCAGTGTATAATATAAAAAGTTTACACACACAGATTTAGGTTATAGTTTTAGGCTCTGTAACACATGCTGGTAATAGTGTTAGGAGCATTTTACAGTACATGGGGGGGAAGAGGGGGAGCTGTTTGTAGCGTTTAGCTGAAAAGCACTCCAAATAATAAAAAAAAAAAAACAGCTTCCAGGAGTTTAAAGCAAAGCAACCCCCCCAGTGTGCATGGACTCTTGTACTGTATTTTCCCCCCATGCAAGTTTGCTTTAACAGATATTAAATATAGGCCTCATAATGGAAAATCACTGCAGGAAAACTTCAACCCCTGAACTGTGACAGCGAGTGCTTTTATTCCATTTACAAGGATGTTATTGTTGATTTAACCTGCTGAAGTCATTTCCTCCAGCTATGCACAGTATCTGATCCCAGCATGGAACACCACCAAGAATTTAATCTTGTGATTAACAAATCAGTAATCAAACAATATCATAGAATTTATTAAAAGAAAAAATAAAAATAAAATAAAAATCAGGATTATTTAGCAATATTAGTCCTGTAGATTCAATACAGGTGAAGTAAATATGCAGCTGGAGCAAGGAAAAAAAAAAAAAAAACCCTCCCATTTTTTACATTTAAAAAAAGTCTAATTTGCACGATGTCGGTCTATGTATGAGAAGATGAAAAAACATAAGTTGGTTTTTCCTTACATTTTTATTTTAGTAAGACAATAAAAGCAATGCAGGAGGGCTTTGTACAGCAAGCCCATAGAACACAAGAAAATAAAAAGGAAAAAAGAAAATGCTCAGGAGCTTACTACAGCAAGAGCCAACTAAACAAGATATAAAAAATAAAAATTATATATATCTATATCTCTATATATCTATATCTATATCTATATCTATATATATATATATCTATATATATCTCAAAACCTACCTCACCAGGTACACATTAAAATACATAAATTCCATTTAAAGTAAAAGGCATCTACGGCACAGTGGCTTAGTGGTTAGCATGTCTGCCTTGCAGTAAATGGGTCATGGGTTCAATTTCCAACCATGGCGCCTCCTGCATGAAGTTTGCATGTTCTCCCTGTGCTTGCGTGGGTTTCTTCCAGGTGCTCCGGTTTCCTACTAAACTCCAAGACATGCTGGTAGGTGAATTGGCTCCTGTATAAATTGTCCCTAGTATGCGTATGTATGAATGTGAGTTAGGGACCTTAGATTGCACACCCCTTGAGGGTTAGGGACCTTAGATTGTACACCCCTTGAGGGTTAGGGACCTTAGATTGTACACCCCTTGAGGGTTAGGGACCTTAGATTGTACACCCCTTGAGGGTTAGGGACTGATGTGAATGTAAAATATATATGTAAAGCGCTGCGTACATTGATGGCGTGATATAAGCACCTTAAATAAATAAAAAAAAAAATCATTAGGACCCCTCCCTCCCAAGCCCAACCTAAATCCACAAGACCAGTCCTGTGTCAGGAGTGTAACAATACAGGTGCGCCATGACAGCACATGGCTGTGACCACAGAAAGCAAACAAACCAGTATAACTACAGCACACCAACCTGACAACCCAGGCAACTGCAAACACTGACAACCAGGCAAAGATCAGAGCAAACACACTAATGGGCAGATCAGTGACATCAGAGATTTACAAGTGTGTGGAAGAGGTGTGGAGATTATCAGGTGCAGCTCACACAAGGTGGCGGTCTGATGGGAATCACCCAGAAGGTGCGGGTGATGGGAGAGGTGTATGGAGAACATCGGCTGATGTAATGGAGCGCAGTGTGTTGCTATAGAGGTGAAGGTCATTGTATACATTTCATTACCCAGAATGCTTTATTTAAGCCCAATATTCCCAGAAGTCATTTCCATTCCCAGAAGTCAGCCATTCCCCATGAGGACCTGGAACATTAGACACCAAGACAGACATCTTTATATAGGAAATATCTGACAAGGCTGAGAACAGAGGGCATGTGATCAGGAGAATATAGATACATAAACGGTACAAGTATTGAATGTCACCATTTTTCTCAGTAAATACATTTCCAAAAGGTGCCATTGACATGAAATTTTCACTACATGTCAGTAACAACCCATGCATACAAAAAAAAAAAAAAAAAAAAAGTTCACAAATTAAAGAGGAGCTCCACACAAAAAAGGGGAAGTTCTGCATTAAGGCTTTGTCCTCCGCTCTCCGTTAAGGATTGGCACCTTTGGGGAGCAGGTACCCGCTCCCAATTTTGGTGCCACGGCGATCAGCAATTGTCCTTCCAGCCCCCACCCCCGTCTTCTGGGACTCATGACAGGTCCCAGAAGACTACAGGACCATTCACAAAGCGCAGAGCTACTCACATGTGGAATGGGCATCCGGCTGTGAAGCCTCAAGCTGTAGTAACACATACACACACATGTATGTATGCATATATATATATATATATATATATATATATATATATATATATATATATATTATATACACACACACATATACATAGTGTATGTGTGTATGTATAATAGTGTGTGTTTTTTAGGTTTTGTGCTCCCCTAGGCAATGCAAAAATTGTCCATGCCATATATATATATATATATATATATATATATATATATATATATATATATATATATATATATATATATAGATAGGATGGACAATTTTTGCATTGCCTAGGGGAGCACAAAACCTAAAAAAAAAACACACACATATATATATATATATACACATACACACACATATATATATATATATATATATATATACACATAGTATAAACACACACAGTATAAACACACACAGTATCTCACGCCTGGGGCTGCACGTTTGACACACCCCATCAGCATGTCCCAGTTGAGGTCAGCCAACACTTAGCCAAAGCTTTTAAAAAAAAAAAAAAAAAAAAAAAAAAAAAAAAAAAAAAAAAAAAAAAAAAAAAGGAACTCCAGCCAAAAATTCCATTTGCTTTGGATACTGTTGGGAGGACTCAAGATCTTCGTCCACTTTTTTTTGTAATAAAACTCCACTGGGAAGAGGATTGCGTTGCTTTCCTCCACACGTACATTCTCCAACAGACAACGCCAATATAAAACATTTATGATGGGAAGACTACATCCTAGCATCCTACTGCTGCTTGTGCCTTTATTAGCCATTCCGCCCCCCTATACTGTCCCAGCCACAGCTGTCCCTAAGGGCTTGTTCATACTAGCAGTTGAGGGACAGTAAAATACTGCAGCTGAGCCGCATTTTCTTCACCCCACCTTCAACAGCAACATTCTGTAGCTGCAGAGGCCAGGGGGTGTACATATGCAGCAGCAGAGCTTTGCGGCTGGTGAGAAGGATCGCTCTCTCCGCCGCCTGTAAAATGCTCTCTGAAGAACGATCCAAGCAAATTTAATATAGGAAGTGATGGGAA